GTTTGTGATCCTTTCTCTGCTTTTAGTTGTGTTTTCATAAACAATTTACATATTGTAACCTACAAGAATATACAAAGATGTTAATATATAAATGTGGAAGTGTGAGCGGAAATAAAACTAGTGTAAAACGATAATAGAAACTAATTCAATACACTCTCGTAGCTTGGTTGGGTCTCATTAAACAGTTTTATTTTGTTTTTCTGTCATAAGTTTCCGTGTTAAGTACTACCGCTTGAAAATCATCTTTTCCATCGCCATTCCGTTTCATTCTCGGTTTATTGACATAGTGAAACGAATGGCAAGACATCTGGGAGATAAGAATGCGGCGTTATGGATGTCGAAACGTCTACATCCGAATCTGATTATCATCTAATAATCGACCAAGAAGATATGATAGGATATTTGCAGTCAATATTTTACAGCATTATCGCCTTTTCAGTTCCATTTCTAGCATGGCGGGTCGTGAGTTCCATCGTGGAGAGATAATTATATAAGTCGTGGAAGTTTTGGCTTTAATTTAGTTAATTCGCTGTTTGCTGTTTAAAGTTGTAGCTTTGAAACCCTAAAGAATAAGCAGATTTCAAATTATGGATTGTTTACTCGCTGTAGTATTCATATATCAAAATGTAAATGAAAGTGTCGGCGAGATGTTCTGCTTGCCTATGGGCTTTAAAAGTGTTGACTGAGTTTATTGTTGAGAGATAACAATTTGCAAAAGTAAAGGCAATTAAATAGAATTTATACATTTACACTCTAACCCTCCTTCAACTTAATTATTTGTCGTTACATATTTTAACACTTCTGTAAATATGTATAGTAACCTTGCTTTTATGACAGCTAAATACTTAACTTACACGATGTTTTCATGCCTTCGGATTACAGATAACAACTGTGAGATATTTGGTTCTGTTCCCTGGTCGAGTAGACCTAATTACTCCATGTTTATCGTTTTGTGGTCGAGACCTAACTACTCCATGTTTATCGTTTTGTGGTCGAGTAGACATACCTACTCCATGTTTATCGTTTTGTGGTCGGGTAGACCTAACTACTCCATGTTTATCGTTTTGTGGTCGAGTAGACCTAACTACTCCATGTTTATCGTTTTGTGGTCGAGTAGACATACCTACTCCATGTTTATCGTTTTGTGGTCGGATAGACCTAACTACTCCATGTTTATCGTTTTGTGGTCGAGTAGACATAACTACTCCATGTTTATCGTTTTGTGGTCGGGTAGACCTAACTACTCCATGTTTATCGTTTTGTGGTCGAGTAGACCTAACTACTCCATGTTTATCGTTTTGTGGTCGAGTAGACCTAACTACTCCATGTTTATCGTTTTGTGGTCGAGTAGACCTAACTACTCCATGTTTACCTAACTACTCCATGTTTATCGTTTTGTGGTCGGGTAGACCTAAATACTCCATGTTTATCGTTTTGTGGTCGAGACCTAACTATTCCATGTTTATTGTTTTCTGAAAGTGTCAGTTAAAATGTAACTGCGTGTGGTGTCCTGCTGGTTGCTTTCGGAAGTACTATACTTCCTAAAACCTCCTCTAGTATGTGGGTCTCTCGATTTGATGTTTTAGTTTCAATATGAAACTGACCATAGTGTAAACATGTATTAGGAAACCTGGACTTTTCAGGTACATATACAGTAACCATGACTATAGTACTGATTCAGATACCAGAGTAAGTTATTTTCTGTGGAAAGTGACCGCATTTCTCTGTGCTAAAACATCATTATTAGCAAGGCCGGAAAAAATACCGATAACCGTCAGACCAAGTATGTGATGTTTTGAATTTAAAAACTTCATTATCGCCGTTAATCTGTCTAGCGGCGCGTGTGGTTGGTTAGGCGTCATTGAGTTTTAATAACTGTTTGAAATGTGTCGCACTTTAAGATATAAAACTGGGCCAGTCTTTGAAAACATTTCTTAAAGTTTCTGCAATCATAGCTCATTTTTTTAACTCAAAATGTTCTTCTTTCTACTTCTTTACATAGCTGGATTCTGTTCCGGTAATATTTTTTCATTGTGCTAAAAGAAAATATCATTATCACCTCGACAATATTTTAAATGCTCAGAAGTTCCTCAAACCCTCTAAAATGTCAGTACTAAATACATATCAGAACATTCAACTACGCTAAAAAAAACTCCAGGACCCTGTGCAGAGGTATGAAATATTCCTTTGCAGCAAAATGCTTAAACAGCCTGAAATATTCTGTGACGTTCCTTAACAGCACTCAGGTCGTCAGCTAAATTCATCCCGAAGCTGTTATTCCACGGATGATACGAAATGTGATGTAATTACTTTAAGATTGGGAATTGGAAAGATGTTTATAGTACAACTGTTACCTATGACGCACTCGAATCTATCTTATTAGGATTAGGAAACATACAATTGAATTGTAGTACAATTGTAGGAATGATAAAACGGACATTTTGTTCATTAACGATTGATATAGCCTAAAGGTACAAATGTGGGGTTTCGATGATATTTACTGATAAATCGATAAATCTGTCATGACCTCAATGGATTAATCATGTCAAATCCGGCATGAAGGTAACTGATGGTTAACGGGAGGCTACTCGCGATCGTGATTGTGTGCGTCTTTTTTTTTTTTTTTAATTATGGCTTGTTATGAGAACCGTAACCCTTGGTAGGAAATGGCGGCATCCGGCACCTGAAACTTCGTTATAACATCATCTTTTTATCACTCACTCGTAGTTTTTTTCTGGTATGATAATGATAGATATTGCATGTGGGTTCGTTAATATGACTAAATGTATCTTAGATTCATTATTTACAACAGCGTGTTTTTGTATTATCTACTCGACTTGGCTCTGTGATACCAACAATCATAGGAGAAGGGACTGAGACTCTGTAATAGATCACAATGTACTATGTATAATACATGTCAAGTCCCGGAGAAAACTAACCGACACTGACGGCAAATGTTGATATAGAGGACGATATTAAGTACCGAACATATTATATAGTGAGTCGGAGACGATGAGGCTTGAAAAATTAACTCAAGTCACGATATCGAAATATTTAAAATAATTTAAATTTTACACGTGTACATGTATTGTTGTATTTGTAAGAAAAGATTTTACCAGCTGTCAAACGCAGTGTGGCTTGGGCAAGAAAATTCAAAGCTATGATTGAAAATCGATGCACTGTTTATCAGACTAGGCAATTCATCAATACTGCGACACAATACTTAGATTAGTATTACTTTAACGTCTGTCAGACACAGACCTGTCGTCATCATGTATTTCTAAGCCCGAGGTCCTGTATCTGTATCATCTATCATTGGCAAACACCAGACATTAGACATTTCCATGGACAGGTGCTTGTTGCTGAGGTAGACGGCACATGTCAATCATAATGAGGAATTTCTTACAAGCTAATGAAGTGAATTTGGACTCGAATTACACTAACTATTATTTCTGCATTTCGTTGGGAATGTAAAACGTTTCGTCTCGAAGTTGTTTCGGACCATGGCGTTTTGCACCCTCTTCAGTCGGTTTGCCCCGAATTGAAAATCCAGAAATGACGTTTCGCCCTCAGCGAACGATGCTAGTTTGTCCAGAATTGTTCTATTAAATAGTAATAGATAATATATAGATAGATAGATACATTTGAAACTAATATATTGTTTTAATGCTGCATATCTATTACCGAGGTCGGTATTGTCTTTGAAGGGTCTAACGGTGTTTATACAGGTTGATGGGAAGCCATCTTTTCTCGGGATGCTCCTGTTTTCCTCTTCAAATCAAACTGGAAATCATTCCTAGTTACTAAAATGAGTGTTCTGTATAAAGCTTAGGTACACGAAAATTGATATCAGATTAATATTGAACCAAAAGTTCACAAGCTGATATGCTTTTGAATAAATTCAGAATTTGTTTTGTTTTTTTTTATAATTTTTATTTTGTTAAATAATTCCACTCTTAAATGAACTTACCTGTTGTGAAACAATATACAAATACAATGAAAAATGGATTTCGTTTCCTAGCGATAGAAATAATCGTATTCCTTGTATTGTATCGGATTACCTTCTAGTACAATAAATGTAAGTGTTGGACACTTCTGTTTGGCTGTAATATAAATACCTTACTGGAGGATGGTATATTGTCTGATTATATATGGAACAACTTGTGCAAAAGTAAATATGGAATAAAAACATCTTTCATTTATTCCCTTGTCATAAATAGAATCAAAATTTTTGAATTTGTTACCTGCATTGTTTCACGAATCTTTTGATGTAAAACCATAATTTCAAATTGTTTGTAAGAGATGAATGAAATTACAGCCATTAGCCTTGGATTTATGTCAGTTTATTACACGTAAAACACTAAGGGGTATAACAGGTACATTGATATATAAATGATATGTCATTACTACAGAAATACATGGTAAACGTGGATTGAGTAACACATCGTATAAAAACAAAAATATTAATTATGTGTGTACTATCACGGTAACGCATAATTATTTCTCACTCGTGCGAGATTGTTACCTTTAATGTTACTTAAACACCAATGGAATCCATGGTTACAGGGAGGTAACTGTAGCTTAAATAGCAAGTCTTCACTTCACTGGTTGAAAGAGGTCAACATACACATGATGTAAACACAATATACATATAAACATAAGTAGTTTTATCGAGGGTTCTAAACGTCGTCGTGTGAACAATGCTGGGGACGAAACGACTTGGTGCGAACCGAGTTGAGAGCAAAACGTCAGAATACCGGTCTCTGATATATGATTACAAAGCTTTGATAACTAAGACATCTTTCATCTGGTCTGCAGTTTTCTCGTCTTTTGCTTGTCTATGTCTATATTGGTTATCGTGTCCATTTTGCAATAAAACAATATTCCCCCCTGTAATGGATCAGGTCGTTTCAGGACCATTGTTGCGGTTCATGCTTGTCCTTACTATGTCCCATTAATATTGGAACTCTCCTGTTTACATATTTCCGAGTTTATTTTCGGTCGCTACTTTGGTTCGGTCTCATGATCATACATAAGATCATTTTTATTGGAGAAATGACACACGAGGTATGGCTACAAGTGTTCTAATACTCTTGATTGTTATATGTACGTGATACAACTGTGATGACGGAGTGTGATTTACACTTGTACCACAAAATTCCTATATTTAGTTATTGGAATAATATAAAATAGGAACACAAACTTCGATTCTTCTGAGCACATCCATTTGAGTAACTAACTGATTACTCGAAGCAGCAACTATCCTTTGAATGTCATTCTGATCTCCCAAAGTTTCACTCTGTGAATACAGATGGTATAAGCTTGACAGCTGATGGGAACAGAGAATGTCAAATGCAGGGCTATCACTACATTAGGGATTGTGCCTAACCTGAACTTGTTAATATTGAAATTATTTACAAGAACTTGATGTGTTCCTTTTTAAAATCACCCCCTTTGAGGAACAAATATATTATCTCAGGAATTCTATGTTTTAATGGCTATTCTCTATATGCTAACTGAGAACAGAGTCAATGATGTAAATTGTCATTCCAGTTCAAAAGATTTCTTTTTGAAATATTTAGTGTCACATTTGTCACTGGGTTTATGTCAGGGACATGCACATGATGGCCTTTTTTGTTACAAATGCACAAAAGAACTTTATTTGTTTCTGCCTTCAATTGTTTCCTGTTTGAGCAACAAATTTATTACTCCAGGTAGTAACTGTGCACAAGCACACAAGGTTTTAAAGTTTTTGTCTGTCAGTTTGACCAGTACAGACTAGAGTTTTATGAAGTAAAGACAGACCTATAGCATGACCTGAATTTTCTCTGTGGAGAAATTTCACATCAGCTCTCCATAATAGCTATATAGACTAATGACGAAGTGCAGTTCTCTGAAGTTTTACTTCTGTCATAGAAATCTTAGTGGCATTCCCTTATGTACCTGTAATGGATATGAAAGCAAGGAACACTTCCTGTTACATTATTTTCTTTTTTCAACTCTGTGACCTTGCTAATAGTGCAATAATTAGCCCGATTTCAATTTAAGTACATGTAAAAGTATTATTGTTTGGAACTGATTAACTGACAATTAACTAACATGCTGCAATTTTCACATGTATTCAAAACTTTATACTCATCTTTAAGAAATTTGATTGATGCTCACTCTTATAACTTGGTTAAATGTGAATATTCTGTACTACTGTATGATATTACATTTGGTCCCTCCCATCATTCATTCAAATACATTGCTTACATTGAGATTACTTTAGGTTTTAAACATCATTCTGATAACAAAAATTACTGCTATTAATGTCAAAGTAGTGCAGTGGTAAGCTAAGTCTAAATCATTTTGATTTTCTATCAAGTTTTATATGTATTATTCTGGAATCAATGAATTCCAGGCTGATATATTAAAGTTGATTAATTCTGTTTATGGTAAGCTGGGACACTCCCCCTTCCCTTTCCCTCCCTACCTTGTTATTTTTCTTTCTGCTTTGTATCCATATTGACTATGTCTATACAAATTTTGTGTTTCTTCTTGGAGAGACGTGTTTTATATAAGTGTGCAACACTTGTTTCTGAATTAAGTTCGATTTCATATGTTGTATATATAGAAATTAAATAAGTTGCAAGCAAAGATAGTTTTTATCATATAATTGAAATATCACAATTTCTATCTTAGCATCCGACAACTTTTTTTTTTAGTTTGTTAAGATATGCATCCATCATTACAAAGTAGTGCTTAACCTGCAGGTTGCAGAAAAAAAAACAAGTTTGAGGAGTTGACACATTTTGTGACATCATAATGCACAACATCCATGTTGTGAATGTGACCTAAGCTACAGCAGTTAGAAATTTATTCACTGTCTAAATCTGACACTATATTTCGACGACATTTCCCAATCAAATTTATGCTAAGTATATGTTACATATACAAAATATCATACACAGTCAAATTCATTTATTTGATAGATATATTGATGAATGAAATAAAGTTTGTAATAACTGCTATGTATTTTTGGCAATCGTAAGTGAAGAAATTTTCAGAACAGCTAAAGCTTATTATCATTAGACAGATAATTTCATGAAGTGTCATAAACAGTATACATGGCTATCAGTCAGTGATAGAATCAGTATAATACTTACATGAAATTGGATTATATTAATGTGTTGGTTTGTATATGAAAGACTTAATTTAAAAAAAAATATGTAATGTACAATTTAAATAGATCTGTAATATACAATTAGATATCTACTGGTTGCCAACCATTTCTTGCCAAGTACCAATCCCACCAATGTTGAGGGAGATTTTTGTTAATTTGCACATAACTCCGCAATATTTTCTAGAAAAAAACTTTTAACTTTCTTGAATATTTTCTTTGCAGAAATATTGCAGTCTTGTTGATGAAATGCATGTATTCATGGCCCTTTCTGAGAACTGGTACTTTATTGGTTCATGTATGTCAGCAACTGATGTACATTATAGTATATATATGCAGCATTCATAGGTTAAAAATATCAATAATCTATTGAAAAGGCCTGTACCAGGTTTGAAGGTAATGACTACATTTATCTATGATAGACAGCTGTTGGATTATATAAGACTCGTCATGCCCATAAAAGTCAACTGAAATCAATAACATGATAAATACACATGCTTTAAAACATGTACATTGTACTCTTACAGCATTTATATCAAATGGCTGCGGGTTAAGAGGCTACAATCTTGATCAACAATTTTGAGTTGTTGAAGTTTTGCTGTCCTGTAACCATGGCAACCATACCTGGATCTGTGGGACTGCCAGTTTTAGGAGACAAGTCGTATGAATTCTACAAGGATCCAGTGAAGTTCTGTCAGAAAAATATGAACAGTCACAAATGTCGACTTTTCTACAATAGATTTTTGAATAAACCAACAGCATTTATCTGTAGTAACAACGCTGTTCACGAACTACTGACAGGTATGTACATTTGCATGGGATTTTTTGAAACTGAAAATTAAATTTTGTGTTCCCAACCACATTATTTTCAATGTTGATTCTCATGATAAAAAGAATAATTATACTGAATGTTTGATGTATTACAGTCCACAACGAATCACTAGAACTAGGATACAAGGCCTTTATGGGAGAGATATTTGGAGACAACATCTTGTTCTCTGATGGTAAGCCATAATAATATAAAGAACAATGCAGATATATTATATTGTTAGATTTCCAGGTATTTCACAGTGCCCTAGCTCACATTGCTGAAGAAATGTTACAAGACACAAATTATTGTATTGCATGGAAAAATGTGAGTATTTGAAGGGATATATTCTACACAAGTTGGCAAATTTCTGGATGTTTTGTACCATTGTAGACTTCTTTCAAATTACTTTTAAGACTATTGTCAGCATCGAGATATCTTTTCTAAGGCCAGTTTGGACAGACAAAACTGGTGGAAAATGCAACCTCCTCCTCCCGATCTCTGTTGATATAAAATTAGAATGTCTGAATATACTATATTGGTGAACTCAGTTAATGACTAGAGCATAGATTTTATTTTTTTGATAAAGTTTAGAAACCTGTATGATGGTGTGTTTTAGGAGAAGATGCCAGGAAATTGCGAAGTTCTTTAAAACAGCTGTTCACTCTGGAATCCATAGATACTTACCAGCTTACAATAGACAGGTGAGGTGTCCATTATTTCCAATTAACTATAGACAAAAGAGGTACTAATAAGTATATAGGCAGGAAAAGCAGTAATTCATACTGGTAAATCTAGATTGATAAGGTCTCCGTTATTACTTAATGTTTAAATGATGCAAGGCTTTCAACAGATTAACAATTAACAGGTGTTTTTATCATTTTATATAAATGTAGTGTTGCAGGCAGGTTAAGTACCATTCCTGTAAACTATAGAGAGGTAAGTTATACATTTCTGCAATCTAGTTGTAATCAAATAACAGCTAATTCATTTACTCTACTTAATTACATAAAACTACCACAGCTTGTGACAGGGTACATTGTAAGTCTCTCGTTCTGTTAAATATCAGATAAGTTATTTAATATCTACTGGTAAATAGATTTGCAAAGAGTGCAAACATTCTTGCTATGTGGGCCTTGAAATGCCTTTCATTTAACTCCATTTTATCCTGGCCCATAGCCTCGGGATTCTACTACCTGTGAAAGATTGTTTGGGCACCTGCCCAAATATATGAGATTTTACAGGATACAATGGTTTCCTTGTACATGAAGAATCTGTGGACCCAATAAGAGTATCACATGGAAACTGATAGCTTGTTGTGCAATTGTTATGAAATAGATAAAGTTTATAGCTTTTGACTGTATATATGAACATGAATTTTAAAAGAAGTAATATGATTTGATCTGTTGCAGTGTGGTGGACAAAGCTGTAGCGACCATCAATCCAAAGTATGTACATGAATTGTATCACATGAAATTCAGTGTTTATTTATACATTACCATACTCCAAAGTAATTATCATTACAGGATGAAATTTTTAAATATATGAAATTTGTAAGTGATGGTAAATTTATGTACTTAAAGTTAGCACCAGTTTTTAGTCAACCCATAAATGTTCATATAGGTACGTTTTATTATAGATGTCAATCAAAAATAAGTTAAGTTAAGTTTATTTCTGGTTCAGGACTTGTCATAGTCCTCTATACCAGACTCATTACAATACATTATGAATACATAATAAAATACATATATCCAGTACTGGACTTGATACCTGGATTGATGCTTTATAATTAAAGAAAAGTGCTTGGTTTTCCAGTGATCATCTAGTGTGTGTTTAAATAAATCAACATTCCCAGCAGATACAACATTTTCTGGTAGTTCATTCCAAATTTTTATTGTTCTGTTTGAAAAATGTTTTTTTTTCTTAGCATAGTTGTGGATTGTTTAGGAAATATTTCCTTTGAATGACCTCTGTGACTATGGCGATCAGAGGCATCTCTCCGTAATATAATAGCATTAAAACAGTCATTATCATAAATTTGACTTGATACATTTCTATCATGGTTTCAGTTTTAAAATTGTACAACACTAACATTGCTGTGCAGCCATCTTTTGACACCTTTCTCATTGTTCATGGATTGTAATATAATATGATACTTGTCAGCTGGCCTGACCATAGATATTACTCAAGGTTATTAACCTACAAACACAATATTTTTTGAAGATAACTCATCAGTTCTGTAAGTATATGCTTTCTGTGCCTAGATTGATATATGAATTTGTATTGTTTCTATTTTTTTTCTGAACCCAAAATGGGTGAAACAGTCTTTGATTTGGACCATGGCAACCTAACACATGCATGCAATCAGTTTTCTGAACTTCAAACAAGTAATCACATGAATTTAGCATTGTAAAATTTCTGGTGTTGGTGAAGAAACTTTGTTTTTATTCAGTATTTTTACTGAACATCCTAAAATGCTGTTGCTTTAAAAAATCAAAAAAGAAAGGAAAAAAAATATTGCATACTTTTATTTCAAGATTTGGCATTGTCTGGATTATCTGAAATTTGTATAAACTTTTCATGTCTGTGTGGATTCACTGAACAATATTCATGTATCCTGATCAATATAAAATGTCAAAATATTGTTTCAATAACTCAGACTAGATTAAGCAACGCTACTATTTTTTTAAAAGATGTCATCATACTTCTGCATTTTGGTAATTTCAAAATAACTATGAATATCTTTGTTGTGTGATAGATCTTATATACATACACTCTCTCTACTTCATATTTTTTTTCTCCTGGGCAGAATTCTAATGATTGGGTGATTGAATGCCAAGTACGGTAGACTGAATCTTCTCTGCACTTCAACCAGCAAGTCCACAAATTTTATGAATTCATCCAACAATTTCCTGTTTTTCCTCATGATGCCTACAATGACCTGCAACCCCCTGCCCCTTCCCCATTCACTCCCTCCCCCCAACGCCTAAGATAATCTCAGCCAGAGAATGAAGATTGTTAATTTGAAGCCAGGTGTATGAAACTTGAATATCCTTCATCAAGGGTTGTGAGGGCTGAGATCCCCTATCTTAACCACAAGGGGATGAATGATTACTCTGACACTTTCTTATGTATATGGAGTCTCTGCTTAACTTATTGTCAAGGTTATGTCAATGGTTATAACAAGGATGAGATGATAGTACAAAGCTAGGCCAGTAGAGTAAAAGAAACTCATACCCATTTGGGTGAGATAGCCAGGGGGCATGGAATATTCCTTCAGTCCAGATTTTTCCTGTGTGTGAGATTTTGTTTCCTAACCACGGGATCGATTGAGACAGCCAACAAAAGTGTATTGCATCACATTGTTATTTCAATAACATCACATCAACAGTCTCATGAGGTATTATCAGCATTTCTTTAGTAAAGAAGTTAGCAAATTGGGTGAGATAAAAATTATCAATGCTGGTTTCATAGAAATTGTGGTTCTCAACTATCGGGAAAAGGAAATTTAGATTTTCAAACATGTGGCAAACCTCATTGTTTGACAGTTTAAAAATCTGCTCTCATTGGCTGAAATATCCCTATTTGACACACAAGATGGTGAAATAATGTGATAAGGTCTTTTGAAATTGATCAGAAAGGTCTAGGACATTACATTCTTCCTGTCATCCTATTCTTTCTATCACTGCCCTGAATCTTGCCAAGGTGTTCATAAATGGTTAAAAAATAACTGGTGTTTGGGTATGTAGATGCACACTTTCTGATATACTGAATTCTTTTTTCAGGGAACCAACATGTGTGTATTCACTTATGAAAAAAATTTGTACAGAGATTTGTCTGAGTGTATTCCTAGGGCTAAATTTTACTGATGCCTGCCAGACAGCTAACACAATTGTGGCCTTGACAACCACACATTGGCATGGTAAGTTTACGTCATAAATATAGAGGTTGTGGTCTGATAACAAAATTAATACTGGTATAATTTTTAATTAGATTATTGCCAGTTGTTTTAAGAAAGATTGTCAGTGCTTCAATCTCTTGGGGATTCTCATCAAGCTTCTAACAGTGATAAAATATAAAAATAACTTTTAAACAGGCTTGAGTTGAAAGGTTTTGGGTCAATCAAGGTCACTGTTACAAATTTCAGAAGATCATTGTCAGTGCTCTGGTGATATGGTGATCAGGAGATTTAGTTTTTGTCACAGACACATTGTTAAGTTATGTTGTTGCTTTTTTAACAGGTATAATTTCTGTACCTTTACCTCTAAAACTGCCGATGACAAGTGGCTCTACCTACAGTCAAGCTCTCAATGCAAAGGTAAGTTACTGGTAACAAAACGCAGTCTAAATAAAGCTAATTAGAGATATGATTAACCTGAAATTGGCAACCTATGTTGTTATTGCTTGCTTATTATCAATAGATGGGGTTATTGGTACAAATGTATCAGCACATGTTCATCTCACCAGTGTATAAATAGATCAAGCCATCATATTTTACATAAATCATTATTACGTTTGATATATGTAATAGATTGAAGTATGACTTATAATTTTAGATTCTATTTGTATATTTTTTCTAAAATATGCATCTTATATTTCGTATTTCCATGTGAGAAAAAAAGTTAAAAAATAAAGTGAAATTGTGTACAAGTGAAAATATCTGAATGTTTGTTGCCATTGGAAAATAGTAAGATTTGTGCACAAGATTTGGTTCAAAAGATAAACTGTATTTCTTGTCTTTGACTCAGGATTCACTTTTAAAGATTATAATCTCAAAACGAGAAGAAAGTTCAGGACAGTTTGCTCAGAAAGTGGAGGATGCAGCATCAACAAGTGAAGACGGGCTTCGTGAAGTCTTCATCAATAATCATCTTCTGCTGTTTACTTCTGCACTGGTACCCAAGGCATTGTCTTCCCTGCTGACCTCTCTAATCATGGAGGTGGGAAAAGAGAAGGTATGCATAGCAATCAACTGTAATTAACTCTGTGTAGATTTATTGGTATGATATCAATGATTGTTTCATAAGCCATTCAAAGGCTAAAATAGGATCAAGTTAAAATAATTATTCTAAGTCATGATACAATTTATTTAGAAATTTGTTCCAGATCAATTATTGTTTAAAATCTATACCAGGGTAAGGTGAGCAAGAATACATTTGTATTAAAGAAACTAGGAAATGTCTAAAAGAAATCAGTACTCCTATGTAAAACCTAAATGTGTACCAGAATCTGATAAGGCGTAGAACTTGATGTTATGATAATATGGGTTAGATATGAACTTAATATGAACATATTGGAAGATATGCTATTGATTAGGTTTATAATGAGTGGGATGGGATGGGATGGAGAGATATAACCCCTCTTTTCCCACCATAAAATGTCATCAATGACAGCCTAAGTTACGTGCTTTCTGATTACCCTAAAATCAAGCAAAAATTCTACCTGTTTTAAATTCCTGATCATGTAAATGTTTTTAACAGGGAGATTTACAGGAGAAGCTTCTCAGTGACCCAGAAATGATGGAAGCTGTGCTATTAGAGGTACAGAGGCTTTATCCTCCATTCCTTGGTGGACGCAGGATCGTGAAAAAGGTGAATACTTATGTTTAGGAACTATTAAAACTGTAGCACATGTATGTACAAGCAGATTCATTGAGCTGTATGTATTCACAGAATCAAGTGAAATATAAATTTTTGTAAAAACAACAAAAATTGAGCCCCACAAAAGATATGATTTGACAATACTTTTATTTAGAAATTGTTTAAATACCTTGTTAGTTGTGTAATAACACACATTTATTATGATCACATGCGTAATAACATCTAGCGCAGCTGTTATTGGCTCAGAATTCTATTGTGAAATTGTGAAACTATAGCTTAATGGCATCATATGCATTATGATATCACCAAAAACAGAGAAATTTAATTTTGGAATTTAATTCTCTGAATAACAGAGACATTGATTTCCCTGATCGGCAACATTATACGCATGTGTTGTGTATCACTCTTTAGAGCAGCGGAGCAGAGTCATCTTTTTGTTGTTTCAATTGCAAGAAAGAATTCCTTACGATATTGGTGATGACTTTATCAGAGGTGTATATCACACAGAAAAGTTTCTGGTTTTATATTCCTTGGTGCATACTATTAAGCATTCCCAAACCAGGTAATTATGATCTCTATAAATGAAGTTTTCTTTCATGTCTTGTCTTATAGTTTGCACACTTGCTGACACAGAGGCCCCACCTCTGTATTACAAGAAATAAATATACATAGAATGTTTGCATGTCTATATTGTCAAAGAGTGATGGTGTTTCACTACACATTTTGATATGATAATTGTGTTTATTCTGTTACAGGATATAGTGTTAGGAGGGTATAAAATTCCTGCCGGACATTCAATATTGTATGTGACCCAGGCTGCCCACCGTGACCCTGATGCCTTCGCCGACCCTGATACATTTAATCCACACCGTTGGATTAACTGGTAACTTTTGTCTAGCAGTAACAATCATTATCAAATAAAACCACTGTAAAGCCAATGTAATGGCCACTCTGTTGAGTGGAGAAAAATGTCCTTGGTTCTGTTACGATGATAACAAGGGCCTCTGTAGACAGGTATTTATCATATACAGGCAGTCGTCATGGCAAAACCATGTATTTTGATTTTGGCATTAGAATCTATTGTTGATAAACAAGTTACATCTTTTCCCACAAATAACTTGTATAGCTAATTAGATTTGACAAATACAGTGTTTTTGATGCTACTGTATGTGTGTGTTATATAGAAATTCTCTTATATCTTTGGTTTAAAATGTATTTAAAATTTCAAGTAAGTCGCATTAAAAATTTTTTCATTACAGCTCACCAGCACAGAAGGAGAAGCTATTTTGTTTTGGAGCTGGTCCACGTAACTGTATAGGCCGGCATCTGGTATGGAAGATACTTCAGGTCAGTTTCACAGACTATACTCACCTGCTGAAATATTTGAACTTTTAGCTTACCTGAGCTGAAGGGTGTGCAGATGTGTCATGTAAATATCAAATTATTAAAAGCAAACATATCCATTACCTGTCTTCCTTATCGGATTTTTTTTTCTAAATTTACTTTTAGTGATTTCTTCTACAAAACCTTAAGCTTTAACGCTAGATGGGTTAAAATCATCTTTGAATTCTCTTGAAACTTGAATTTTTCAGATTGGATGTTAATTTTTTTAGATTAAGGCTTGTGAAATTTGATGTTGAAGCAGCTTAGTTTTCTTCTTTAAAACTATGTAATCCAAAGAGCTGTCATAGTTTGTGGTATGTAGAATAAAATTACTCTATATCATATCAGCAATTGAAAAGGGTCTGTTAACTTAGAATCTATTAACTCAATCTTTTGAAGAATTTTTAGGTCACCTGAGACTTAGTCTCATGGTGATCAATTGCAATCCCCTTTCATTGTGCATTGTGCATCTTGTGTCAGTAAACTTTTAACATAAAATTTTGACCTCCTCTGAAAAAACACCTGAAGAGATTTCAGTGCAATTTTGGATAAACTTTTTCAAGTCAAAATATAAAATGAAATAATGAATTATATGGCACCCTCCTCAGGGTTCTGAGAGGCAAGGTCAAAAGCAGTCAAATTGAACTAACTTTTAAAAATCTTCTTCTCAACACCCAGTAGGGTAGAACTAAATGCTGCTGATGGATGGTAGCATCTTACGGTGCTTTACCAAAATTGTCAGTTTTGTGGCCCCAAAATTTCACATTTCCCCTTGGGGAGGGGTAAAATTTACTATAGTTTATTAAGGAAAAGTATATTTTCAAGCATAGTTTGTTTCAATTACATTGGATATATTTCAAACTTGGTTGGAATTATTAGTGAAGGATGACAGCTTGATGGTATGTACATATTGATCCTGGCTGACCCCAAGGGGCTGATGGGTGGTGCCAAATTGGATCAAATTGACTCCAATTTCAAAAATCTTCTTCTCAACACCCAGACATGGTACAACCAAATGCTCTTTATTGTGACACTAATAAAGCTACATACCCTACAACCTTTATATTGAGTAATGCTTAGCTCAGGTGATGGTCAAGCCTACTAGGCTGCTTGTTAGACTTTTAATTTTGATATTTGAATAATAGATACAGTAACTGTTATTTGTAGTCATATATTCGTGGGTTAACTTCTCTCTTGAACTAACAGAGTGGAGATATATACATGTAACTGTTGATAATATTTATAATGAAGCATAAAGAAAAGCTTAGAATTATTTCCTGGATATTGTCTTGACCCACTTTATCAGGTTCTTATCTTCTTTTGTTACAGACCATTATTGTGCGTCTCCTTTGTTCCTGGAAATTTGAGCTTCTAGGTAACCAGGATTTCAGTCACAAATGGCTGCCAGTTTCTAAACCAAAACAGGATGTCAAAGTTCAGTTCTCTAGTCGTAATGCAGCATAGAATGTTGAAATGTTCAACTTGTGATTTATCTGCGATAAGCTATTTGTCCTGACACAAGTGACATGTCAGACAACATTTGCATTGAAATCTTAATATTATATTATATTAGATTTGAGATTATTCTGGATACAATAACACAATGACTGAATAATTGATAATATGATGTACTCAAGAACTGCATTTGAGCAAGAAGATTACTGTACAATTAGTGCTCAATATTTAATGGAAAATCTGGAAGGCTAGGGAAATTAAGAGGATTACATGAATTTGTTTATACACACACCTATGTAGATTAGCCTTGAATTACCCAGATTGTCCAATAAATCTCTGATTAAAGTGCAGAGATAGGCTTTTTACAGGATATTAAAACAGTATTTTTTACTGTATCTGACATGGATGGGCTTATTATTATAAAAAAACAGGGTTATTATTTCTTCATACATAAAGTAAAGACATTAGTCATGTCAACAGCATATCAAAATAATGTGATCCTCAGTCATGTTTTCCTATATACCGGTGATATATGTAATATATTGAAGATGTTATTTAAATTCATATATCAATTCTGTACATAATCAGAGAAAACTTGTTTTTTTAAATCTGCTTTAACAATCTTCAGTAGCCTTGTGATTTTAGAAATCGTTCTGTATCTGTAACATCTAAACAGTATTGAATAACATTTTTTTGCATATTCAGTATACAGGTATGAATAAGTGATGGTTTAATATATATTCTGTTAAAAAGAAAATAGTTTTTCAAGCTGTATGAGCAAAGGAAAAGTGAATATTCTGCTTTTCTCAAATTCCTAATTGAAGAAATTGCTGTACATATTTAAAACTAACTATAGTTTGACTCAAACTTTTTTCTCCATTTCCAACAGCTTATGTGAATTAAAAATTGATTTGGGTGCTCATAATATTACTACTTTTATTATTCATTTCAATCCTAATTTGAAATTTCTACCCTATGTATAGTTTCTCAATTCAAGCACACGAATTCAACCTTTATATAATGTATATTTATGTTCTTGTCATTGTCTAAACCAAGTTTTACTTACATTTGTGACTTTCGTGAAGTCGGAGATGTTCATTGTGAGCAATACAGGACAGACAGACCTTGTAGTAATGTGGATCATTCATTTGATATAATAGATCAGTTTAATTTAATTGCTACATTATTAGATACTATATCTTTTACATTTTATACATCACATTTGTCTTTTTCTGTAATTCAAAGATTCTGCTTCAAATGCATAATTATATAAGTTTTGTATGACAGTATTTTATGTATCTATATATAATGAACAGTTTTTTTGATATTGAAGTTATGATTAGTAATAGCAGTTCATGATATTTTTGTTTTGAGGAAGTAAAATATGTACTGTGCCATAGTTGCATTTCTGTAAAAATAGTTATTTATGTTAGTAATTGTTTTTGCAGTTTGACCAAAGACGTTAAGCAAAAAGGATACATTTTTCACAGAAGTTATGAAATTTTCATGGTATCAAATTCTAGCAATTTTAATGCATCTTTAAAAAAGATTGAAACAAATACCTGATGGAAATATTAGTCTTTAGTGTTTGATCTTTTACAAAATTCTTGTTTTGGATTTCTTGGTTTATTCATAACAACCTTGTGGGTTATTGTCATTTATAGTTTTTCTAAAAGACAACTTTTTTGTAATTATTTGTGTTAACTGATTTGATATTTACTTTTGTATGTGATGTAGTTTTAAAGCAATGTTAACTTAGGTCTGAAATAACAAGCTTAGGACTGTTTCAGAAAAAACATCTTGTCCCCAGGACTCCAAATCAAATCACTTTATCCATAGCTGGGTTTTCTACCTATTAGTTCTAAGTAAATTATGAATCAAATTCTATAGGCAGTAACCCTAGATGAATGATGTCTTACTGGAATAGCCCTAATATTTGTTTTAATGTGTGTTGTTGGGTGTTTTATACTTTTTATGTCTGTTTATGACTTTTTATATTTGATCTGATTTTGCCATAATTAAAAAAAACGTTTCATAGATTTGTTGGAGGTATAGTGTGATAGTCCTCATTATATCATAACATACTTATACTCATTTTTCCTCTATTTTTTAAAATTTGATGAAGAGAAGAATTTCACTAAACCGTGAAAGATAATTAAGAAATGTGTTCTTTAAACTTTATCAAATTATTTTCAATGATTTATTGATTTTATAGATATTTTGCTTTTCACAAACCTTGATGAAAATATTCTGGTATTTTAATGGGATTATGATATATCCTCAAAAAAATGTTTAATAGGCCTAGCATTAAACAGATGATATAGAGTAATTTCATTTATCGTAAGAAATTTGTACATATCTGTGTTTTTCTTTAATGCAGACTTTTAATGTCTTGTCTTGAGAAATCAATTTAAAACCATTCTGTATATATTAAAAAATATGTATTTTACTCGGAAGATTTTGATATGATATTCTTGAATTAGATATATACATCTGTAGGATTTTCTTTTATCTATATGTTACATATATTTTACCTATATATATTGTTGATATTTTTGTTCAAAATTTATATTATTTTGTTGATCACAACTCAGAAACATTTTATTTATTAATCAATTCCTCAAGGACCACAATGTGTCTCTAAAAAATATTCATCATTTTGTTTGGATAGATTTGAATTCAAATTGAGTTACCCTCAAGGTCACAAAATGTGGTCAAACCCTTGGCAAAGCCCTCAAGGTCACAAAATGTGGTCAAACCCTTGGCAAAACCCTCAAGGTCACAAAATGTGGTAAAACCCTTGGCAAAGCCCTCAAGGTCACAAAATGTGGTCAAACCCTTGGCAAAACCCTCAAGGTCACAAAATGTGGTAAAACCTTTGGCAAAGCCCTCAAGGTCACAAAATGTGGTAAAACCCTTGGCAAAGCCCACATGGTCACAAAATGTGGTAAAACCCTTGGCAAAGCCCTCAAGGTCACAAAATGTGATAAAACCTTTGGCAAAGCCCACATGGTCATAAAATGTGGTAAAACCTTTGGCAAAGCCCTCAAGGTCACAAAATCTGGTAAAACCCTTGGCAAAGCCTTGATTTTACGACATTTTGTGACCCCTCAGATGGAATATCCCTAGCCTACATACTGACTTATTAAAGAGTTTTATAATAAATTATTTCATCAATGGGTACATTTGTCATTTATAGTAACATTGCTACCAGGCCTGGGTCTTCATCGTCTGTCAAATATTTAAGGTTCGAGAATATTGACATCTTTGAAATTATGAGGAGGATGAAATTATAAAGTAAGAAATTGTTAAGGAGTTTTTTGTTTGTGGATTACTTTAATCCATACTCTAAAAGCATTATATATGGTAAGGTATAGCTATTTCAAATATTGAAATTAGTAATAAATTGAATTTTGAAGTCATTTGAGAAGAAGGAAGTTTTGAATATATATTGGATTGCTTCCCTCTTTTTCTTTTTATAGCAAATCAATATCACAAAATATACATTACACATATCCTTCTTTTACCTCAGTGTGCTCAATGTTTGTCTGAAGTCATATTTCTTGACGATATTATAAATTATAGATATGTACATACCAATTTCAATCATATCAAGCATATAATTCTATTTGGGGTAGTTTTATAATGGGGAAAATTGTGTGTAGTTTGCCACATTGTTGCACTGATCAGTATTTTACCAGAAGTGAATTTGAATTGAGAAATGGCAATACTCTAGTACTATACATGTAAAGTGGAATCTGTTCCTTGCATTGTGAGACATCTGTATTTCATTGATAAATTGCTACAAACACTGAACAGATTTTGCCAAATGTGGTCAAAATCATCTGTTAGAAAAGAGGAACAAGTTTTGTATAAAGAGTGCATCTTGGCCATGTGGGTCTTGAGGGGCAGGGCCCAAAAAATGGAAATTTAACATTCTTTTAAAGTTTTCTCTGAAACATCCTTGGGTAAAGGGGACACTATTTTGTATAAACGATTGGTCTGATCCCCCTTCAGGCTGAGGGGGCAAATGAATGTACTGTACATATAAGTCTTTAAAAATCCATCTTTTTTCTGTAACAATTTGACCAATTAGTCTCAAATATCCATGGATAAAGTGGACAGTACAATAAGTTATATTAATTGATGTCTGTAGTCAGATTTTGACCATATTTGGTTTGAGTTTTAAACCCCTCTTTTTATGGACAATACTTCACTTTGTCAAAGTCAACTGAAAAATGTTTCAGGTGAGTGATACAGGTCCTATGTGCTTTTTTTAGTTAATGTAGTGACATACTAAAAAACATTGGCTGTTTATTAACATAACAAAATTGACTGTTGATTCTCGTCAATGTGATATTACAGTGTACTAAATTAATTTGCCTCAGTTGTTTTTTTAAACATGATATAGGAACTTTTTTTTTGCCTTCGCATGTTTCTGTTTAGACTAGTCTTGCCTATCTAAATATTTGAATACTCATTAAAGACGTAGAATTAAGTACCATTTATCATATGGTCTAATATGGAAAGTCTAGTTCAAAAAGCTCAGAATCATTACGTGTGTCAGGAAATGTGTGAAATACTTGTTTTGAGTTACGTTGTGGTGCCTTGAAACTTCTTTCACGGATACAGATCAGTTCAAAACGATGCCATAACCTTGTCTTACATGTACTAAGTTTTAATCATGTTGACAGACAGGATGTCTAGTCTAAGATCTAGTTTTGTAATAATTGTATTAACAGAAATGTATTTGTGTATGTTGTAGTAGATGTTAGGTTCTACTTAACAGAAAGATTCACATGTGATAAGAAGTTATTTCGTCAAAGTTCTTTCTGTTTATACTCTCTATGCTGTTAATGTCACAAGAAAATACTGACAAATTGGTAAAAGATTTTACAGCAGTTGCATTCTAGTTGAAGTGACCAAGGTTGACAAGTTCTCACAGATTTTCATGGTGCAAAGTGTTGATCAGTAGATTAGTATTTACCCTAATTGAAAACGCCTGACTATAAGTTTATCCATTGGTCCATGATTGGCTGATGAATACAGTTGAAGCTCCGATTCTCTTTACAAGCTAATTGATAGGTCACTTCTTCTTGCAATGATCTTCTCTGATTGGCTTCTGAACTGATCCTGGCAAGGATTTGAAGACAAATATTTTCCATCGCTCACATATCTCTTTGACTGTGACAAGGTATTCGATGAGTAAAGAACTGATGAATAGATTTTAGCAGTTGTAGATAATTAGTTGAATCACAAGAAAATGACCATTTTGTAACCGTTGATTTGTTTTACACAAAGACATTAATAATGCTTATTGATAATTGTTTCTGTAGTCATTCCATAAATAGGAGGGCTCAAGTGACTGTTGTTTTTATATCAATAAAGAGGTGAAATGAAACAATTCTGCATTTGTTTTTAACAACATACTTTAATGTGCAATGATATGCATAAATTGATGGTCAGATGAGGTCTCTGTTTCACAATATTATTTTGCTTATAGTCCATTATCATCAGATGGTGGACTGTTCAAATCGCTCTGCGTCCTTGGTCTGTCCATCCGTTGTCCGTCCACCTGTCTATAACCAATCACTATATCTTGAGAAGTACTGGATGGATCTTTCTTAAATTTCATATAAATGTTCCCCTTGGTCCCTTTTTGTAAAAAATTAATTTTTGGTCTGATCAGAAAAACAAAATGGCTGACATATGGCCATCTTGTTTTTTGACTTTGCAAGTTTGTTATCATGATTTCTTGAGGACTACTGTATAGATCTTTCCCAAATTTCATGTATTGGTTCCTTTAGATCTGACCATCTGTAATCAATTGTTATTCTTAGAGAAATACTGGATTTGCATTTCTCAAATTGCATATGTAGGTTTCCCTTCATCCCTATTTGTACCAATTTATTTTGGGACTGATCAAATAAAACAAAATGGCAGACAGGCAGCCATCTTGGATTTTTTCAATGAAGTTTGTTATCGCTATTTCTTGAGAAGTACTTCATGGATTTTTCTTAAATTACATGTACAGGTTTCCCTTGGTCCCTAGTTGTGCTAGTTTAATTTTGGATCTGATCAGAGAAACAAAATGGCTGACATACGGCCATCTTGGATTTTGACTTTGCGAGTTTGTTATCACTATTTCTTGAGGACTACTGTATAGATCTTTCTCAAATATTTCATGTATAGGTTCCTTTAGGTCTGACCATCTGTAATCAATTGCTATTTCTTGAGAAGTACTAGATGGACATTTCTAAAACTGCATATGTTGGTTCCCCTTGATCCCTAGTTTTGCCCATCTGATTTTTGGGTCTGATAAAAAAAAGAAAAAAAAAACCAAAACGACTGACAGGTGGCCATTTTGTATTTTAACTTTTAAAAGTTGTTATTGCTAACCCTCCATAAATACTGCAAAGATCTTTCTCAAATTTCATGTATTGGTTCCTCTTGGTAGCCATCTTTAGTTTCAGTGAGTTTGTTATTCCTAAATTTCAGGAAGTACTGAATGGATCGCTCTCCTATTTCATATGTATTTCCCTAGTTGTGCCCATTTGATGTTGGGACTAATCAGAAAAACAAAAAAAAAAACTGACCATTGGTCATCTTGGAATTCACCAAATAAAATTTGTTATTGCTTCTTCTTAAAAATTACTGAATGGATCTCTCTCAGTTTTCATACCTAGGTTCCTCTTGGTCCCTAGTATGATTTTTTCGGAACGGATCAGAAAAACAAAATGGCTTCCAAGTGACCTCCTTGTATTTGGCAGTTTAAGATAATTATCACTATTTCTGCAAGTAATATTAAAAAAATTTTACCATAAAGAGCCAAAACAGAAAAGAGAACAGAAGAGAAAAGATAAAACAAAACAAAAAACAAAGATTAAATATGTTGGGTGCCAAGATATCTCTAGGATCTCGTTTTATTGGTGTATTTTGTAAAGAAAGAAGTCAAGGTAAACATCAGGTTTATTACAAAATAGATAAGTGTGTATAAATGTAGAGTTTTCCTTATTAAAAAAAAAGCATGTAAAGGTATATTCTGCCAAAGTTTTTTAAGATACTTTCTGAGAAAACTGTACAAAACCATCTACTTATAGTCTTATAGAAATCGCAGGACTCAATTTCAACAAAAAATCAACCTTCACTATTTGAGGAAATTCCAGGTCTAGCTAGATCTGTTTACAAATGTTCATGCTGCTCTGATAACTTCAGAACAGTTTTGGGCCTGAATGAAAATGGCGACCCCCGTGTAGACATGTTTGTAGTCACACTTATTTTTCTAACAGGAATATCAATATCTGTTAGTGTCATTTAAACGTAGTTTGTGTTATCATTGACAAATATGACAGGGACAATGTCTTTTACTGATACACTTACCACTGCTTACATCCGATATCATGGTTTTGTTTTTCAGCTTCGCTTCCAAAATGATCACATGAAGAATGCGCCATATTTGCACATTTTAACTTCATTCTTGTCTGGAGAGTTTCCATCAATTTAACCTGTCCAACGTGACCACGGGAAGGACATTTTAACGCTTATGATAATTTAAATAGTAATAATAACATTAAAAACGAATGGAGCAACAAAAAATCTTTGCAACTAAGGTAGAATATACTATTAAAGGATTAAATAAATAAAAAATCTATTATTCAATATTGAGTTGTGTTAACTTTCTAATAGCATATCAATAAAAGGTGAGTCTATTCAAAAGGAAAACCCAGTAACGCTCATTTCAAAGACAGTGATCATCATTATAAACATTAAAGGTGACACCAATGTTGTCAGGCTGTACACTAGACACTTTATGAACAAGGTGGATGCACCTGTAGAATGTTGTCAATCTGTACACTAGACACTTCATGAACAAGGTGGATGCACCTGTAGAATGTTGTCAATCTGTACACTAGACACTTTATGAACAAGGTGGATGCACCTGTAGAACGTAACTTTCTTTCAAGATTGAACTAAATTGATGTAAGTAAACTGTCTAAAATATATGACCAGGAAGTAATTATTTATACTGTAGTTAAATATATAGTTGGTTTCATGAAAATTAATTGCTGTGAACTTGCTGCGATGCAGAAATTGTGAAAGTTGGCAGCCACGAAATGAAGTTTGTTTTTCCAAATTAAGTTCCATACTAAAAGTCATTCTATCTGACAATATATAAAAATGTCCATGGCTGTTCTTTTTCAGTTACAAATGCAGTCATTGTGACCTGAGTATACTCACAAATGCCCATAGATGAACACTTTAGTTACAAAAGCAGTCTTTGTGGTCAAATCATACTTAACAAGAGTACCGCAAAGTGGAACAAAATATGCCCGTGAATATCCAAAACGTCTTTTGTTGGGCGTATAAAAATGTTCACACTTGTGAAGTTTCAATTATAAATGTGCTCACTGTGGCCAGATTATACAGTGTGGTTGGGTGGTACAGTGATAACACACTTGTCTTTCACCTATAAGTCTGGAGTTTTGATTCCAGGAACCGACATGAAAGGGAATGTGGTCACCTGCCAGGCCAGCTTTCCCTGGGTACTCCAGTTTTATTCCAAATCAAGACCCCATTCCAGACAATTCCATTCAGTCTAACAAGAGTGATTAATACAAGTGGTAAAAACTTGTTTCACAATAATTTTTTAATAAAGTTAAGTCTAAAAATTAACTATACATATCAATGCTTACAACTGTTTTCAGGATTTAAACACTTATAGGACATAAGACAACAACTTGTTTCTTCTGAACATGTTTGATAAATCCTAACAGTAACATTTTATCATCCCTATTTAGGATGAAATACATAGATATGAAATATAAATTCTATTCTCACCATGTACATTGTCTATTACTAATATCACAGAACATTAAGGAATATGCATAGCTCCACAAACATATATTAACAGATATATTACAATCTTTATTATTTTTCACAGTGTAATTTATTTATCTGACCATAAACCAATAATAAAGATTTTGTTCAGTAGAATCATGAAAAATATTATCTTTCATTGTCTTTAAATAAGCCCACCCCCTGACTTTGCGTAAATAGGTCAGATGTTTACCACCTAGGCTTACTGCAGCAAAACATGCTAAATATGACCCACATTTCAATATCAGCAACATTGTATGCAAGGGGATGGTATACCCGTAATAGCAAAAATATAAAAACAACACATTTTTTTTTTAAGAGATAGTTCCATATTTAAGACATCCAGGATTTTAAGGTACCCTGTTTAGTACTGTGTAGATTCTGGTTTTTGTTGTTTATTTTCAACTCTTCCATCCAGGATTTGAACAACTTCTCCATCTTTGTTCTGGCTCTGGAATTACCATTGTTGACTGTAGGTAAAATCTTGTCTGGTTTGATAAACTGTGTAAATCGTTTCATCTCCAAGTAACTGCTGTGTTCACTGTATGGGACACCTGTAAGAAAAATGATATCTTCAGTCAGATTTTAATTTCAGCTATATTACCACCATTCTGATCTCCCAGAGTTACTTCCCTTTGTTTCATTCTACCTCTGAAGTAATATGCCACTTGTTCTGGACTGATATTGGTCACATTACCTCTCTTAGTAGCCAATCACTAAGTGTTTTGCATTAGAAAGTCTCAAAAAATAACTCGAGTGTGAAAATATGGATCTTCTAGGTTTTGACCAATCAGAGCCCACCTTACATACACTGTCCAGTATGACAGAAGGATCTGCATGGAAAAGTCTCAACATACAAAGAACATTGTATAATGTCCTTATAAAACTGAACTACAAAGTACCATTAATATCATCCATGGTATCTGATTCAATACTCTTAGTTATGAATTGTATATTTGAAAAATTTACATATGTACAGAAAAAAATCAGTGAATTAGTAGATTTGTAAAACATCATATAGTGATTCACTTATGTAGAATAGTATTGTTCATTCAGGGAACATAAGACAATATGCAGACTTAGAAAAATCGAAGTTCAAACCAATAATATATTTCTAAAAAATATCAAAACATTACTGAAGTCATTGACAAGATGTTTATTAATATGCCATCTGAAGGACAACTATGACATATGTTGCAATGTTGATTATTAGATGTATGGATAAAGTAAACTAACATGAAGCTTGGGGGTTTTCTCTTTCTTTTCATCTAGATTAAAAACATGGAATTAGACCAGGAATGTATAATGTAGACCTGTAATGTATCCATACTCAACAATCTTGGTGGAAATGTAATCAAACCTCAGTATTAATTAAACAAGAGTTCCTCGGAATTGTATGTGTTGCCTGCATAAAGTGTCACGGTCACCCAGAAATTGAACTGGATGTGCAACGATCAACCATAAAGTTGTAATACCAAATTTCATTTCTATAACTATAAGCATAAAGGGAAAACTGCACAAAGCAATATTCCTGAGAAATTTTCTAAGTTGAAAGGGGCAAAACTCTGCCAAAAAGGGTCACAGACAGCCGGGAATCAAACTTAATCTGTACCCTTGCAACGAGAAGCCATATTCCAAACTTTATTTTGATAACTCACAGCATTACCGAAAAAAGTCCGGAAAGCTTTTGTACGGACGACGCTGACACATGACGACGGACAAAGTGATCCCTAAGTGTCCGCCAGCTCTGCAGGCGACACAAAAAGACTTGACATTTTAACCCAGTGACCTACAAAATTTGTCACTGCTTAACAAATTCAAGTAAATTAACAGACAAATTAAAGTAAATTCACAAACAAATTATGATGATTTCACAGATAAATTAACTAATAAATATCGGAGTGTTGTGTTACTACTAATTCCCATTGGTTAGTACTGTTAGCCTACACACAATATACTTAATTAGCAGACAAAAATGGCAGGGTGTTAACAGAAATCCTTGCAGGATAACCCAGTGGATAGAATAACAATAAGCTGTACAGCCAATGGCGGCTTAAAAATGTATTTCCAAAAGACGAAGTTCATAATTATAGAGCAGTGATTAATTTCTGCATTCTTAGTACTTGCTACATAAACAGCATATAAAAACTGCAATTGGTGTAATCATATTTAATGCAATACTTTCAGGGCACAGTACTAAAATAGATTATCTCTAAAATATGTACATTAACAGTAATCTAGCAATGAGGTCTTTGAACTTAACAATGAAGTCCAGTCTTACCTTAAAAATAACTTATCACAAAAAATATTTTTTAAGAAATAAAGAAACATTGAAGAGTAAAGCTGGAACAGCATTTTGCCACATTTCTTACCATATATGTGTATCCCATTCCTGCTGAACTTTGGCCTCAGCTGGTCCAGGGAGGTGATCTTGTTGCTATGGGTCCAACCAGTTGGTTCAAAAGCTATAACCTCTGTATAACTTTTCAGATTTGCCATGTAATCCCCAAGTGTCTAACAAAATAGAACAACGTAATGAAACCAGTGGCATCAGACTGTAATTGAACACAGACTTTGTCTATCAATAAATGTACTCGCACCTATTGTAAAATCTTATACACTGTTTTTTCATGGGACTCAATTTGTGTGGATTTTCTAAGGAAGAAGAGTAACTATGAAATAAATGAAAATAAAAACATGATTTAACAATATTCAACAGAATAAAATCTTGCTGTTACACAGTCCTGTAATGAGTACATTCTGGAAATTATTGGTGCCATGAACTTTCTTAAAATTCATGTCATATAATGAAAATTTGGTTACACTTTATCTAATTTGAATTTGTTAAGAGGTCAACTTTGGTCTGTTTTCATACGTACCTTTGGATTAAGTTTGCCCATCTGAAGGACATGAACCCTAGCTTTACTTGGACTCAAAGTGATGGACTCCTGAAGCTTACGGTCCTCAAGACAATCCAGCACTGTCTTTTTCTCCTCAGTCACACAGATCTTACTGTTCAAGGCGTTGGCAATAGCTGTAATAAAGGACACAGACCTTAATACAAAGGCCACAGATTTTGCTACAAAGGACACAGATTCTTACTTCAAAGGACACAGATCTTACTACAAAGGCCACAGATCTTACTACAAAGGACACAGATCTTACTACAAAGGACACAGATCTTACTACAAAGGACACAGATCTTACTACAAAGGACACAGATCTTATTACAAAGGACGCAGATCTTACTACAAAGGACACAGATCTTATTACAAAGGACGCAGATCTTACTACAAAGGAAGCAGATCTTACTACAAAGGACACAGACCTTAATACAAAGGCCACAGATTTTGCTACAAAGGACACAGATTCTTACTTCAAAGGACACAGATCTTATAACAAAGGACGCAAATCTTACTACAAAGGCCACAGATCTTACTACAAAGGACACAGATCTTATTACAAAGTACACAGATCTTACTACAAAGGACACAGATCTTAATACATAGAACACAGATCTTATTACAAAGGACGCAGATCTTACTACAAAGGCCACAGATCTTACTACAAAGGCCACAGATCTTACTTCAAAGGCCACAGATCTTACTACAAGGCCACAGATCTTACTTCAAAGGACACAGATCTTACTACAAAGGACGCAGATCTTACTACAAAGGACACAGATCTTACTACAAAGGACACAGATCTTATTACAAAAGACACAGATCTTACTACAAAGGATGCAGATCTTACTACAAAGGACACAGATCTTACTACAAAGGACACAGATCTTATTACAAAGTACACAGATCTTACTACAAAGGACACAGATCTTAATACATAGAACACAGATCTTATTACAAAGGGCACAGATCTTATTACAAAGGACACAGATCTTACTACAATGGATACAGATCTTACTACAAAAGACACAGATCTTACTACAAAAGACACAGATCTTACTACAAAGGACACAGATCTTACTACAAAGTACACAGATCTTACTACAAAGGCCACAGATCTTACTACAAAGGACACAGATCTTACTACAAAGGACACAGATCTTATTACAAAGTACACAGATCTTACTACAAAGGACACAGATTCTTACTTCAAAGGACACAGATCTTACTACAAAGGCCACAGATCTTACTACAAAGGACACAGATCTTACTACAAAGGACACAGATCTTACTACAAAGGACACAGATCTTACTACAAAGGACACAGATCTTATTACAAAGGACACAGATCTTACTACAAAGGCCACAGATCTTACTTCAAAGGACACAGATCTTATAACAAAGGACGCAAATCTTTCTGCTCTAATCCTCGGAAATAGCTGTAACATAGGACACAGATCTTACTACAAAGGACACAGATTTTACTGTTCAAGGCATTGGCTAGAACTGTAATAAAGCACACTGATCTTACTGTTCTTGGTATTGGTGATAGCTGTAACAAAGGGCACAGATCTAACCATTTAAGGCATTGGCAATAGCTGTTTAGGGCTAATAATTTGCTGTTCCAATTAGTACTGGTTTAAGAGGATTAACTTTGGAAAGTGATATGTATCCATTGGTATCCATGCACAGGTATATAACATGCATTTCTTATATTCTGATTCACCATAAAAATGTTTGTTATTGAACTTCATCTTTAAAGATCACTAATACATATATTGCAAATTCAAATCCCACACTAATATACAGCACTGGAGAGTATTCGCTGATTTTCTACTTTAAATGAGTTAATGAATCTTACATTCATGACAAAGTCATATCAATTTGAAATGAACACTGTTTTTGTTATATAAATTTAACATGAAAAGGTAACTCAATATCAGATACTCAATACAAACATTTTGATATATTGTGTTCACTGACCCTTGATAACCCATCAGTATTACAGTTGGTATTATTTGCGTTAATTCAAGTGCAAAATTACATACCAAACAATATTTTCAGTGAATCAAATTCTCACATGGATGCAAATTTATAGACATGTGAGAAATTTAATGACCTGAGCTAGCCCAGCATAAAATGGCCCATTTCCAGCTTCCTGAGAAACACAACTACCACTGGTGTACAGTGTTGAATCACACACCTCAGTTTCTTCGCCTGAGATTCGGTATGCCAACACTTTATCCGACATAGCTAATGCGACCCAAAAATAAAAAAGAACTATGCAATACCCAAAATTGTCATGAATATACCTGTGAAGATTCTCTCTTTCCCAATAGTATAACTGCCACATACAACGAGCGTCTTGGCATTTTCCTTCAATTTCTCTTTGACAACAGACACAGCAAAGTCTATGACTTCTTGCTGAGGTGGGAATGTGTAGGTAGGATCACAATAACTGAAGAAAAAATGAAATTTCTGTTTTCAAATATAAGTTCATAACAATGGAAGACATCTTTCTGAAACAAAAATGACTTTAAGTTTTATTAAACCAAATTTCACATTTGACCATTCAGGAGAGAGGTTGAAATACTACTAATCTTGTTTAGAAATTAGTAATTTGTTTACAAGCACTGACCAATAACCATGGCAGACAAGAAGACATTGACTTACGTTGTATCCAGGTAAAGCTGGTTGATATGAATACTGTTCAGGGCTGGATAACTCTCCATAGCTATGCATGCACGGAAATCTCCAGTGTGGAGGTATATCCTACCTCCTTTGAGCTTAAAGAGGAACAGCACGGAACCTGGGCAACTGTAAATGAAGCAAACAGTCACTCAAAGCAGACTAGTATTGTCCCTGATATGAAATTATATTTAAGTTTCAGGGAAAATCATGTTTTCATGAATTTAAAATGTTTATCCTCATCTAAAGCACTGAAAAGACATGAGCTTAATTTGTTTTGAACTGATAAAACTGACTAGCAATATATATTGCAGAAAAAAATTGGAATTTCACAATATAAATTATTTTTCTTAGATAGCAAAATTGCATCCTTATGAGAATTTTTTGTTGGATTTTTTGTGTTTAGTCCTGAACACCAATACCAAAATTTTTAATGAGTCCATTTACAAAGAGATATAGTTGGTTCTCAAAATCTCCGAGAGTCCCTAAGGAAAAGTAGGAGTCCAACACTCAAATATTTGAGTCCCAAAAATCATTTCTCTATCAAGTTATCATAATTTTACAATTTAAGGCTAACATTCAAAATTACATAAAGACTACCTGAAAACTCACTGGTTTGCCTCTAGCAGTGTGACTTCCACTCCTTCTACAACAGTGGGGCAGGCCATTGGAAGAGCATGAAGGTATTGTTGGTCCACTTTCAGTCTTCTTTCTACAAGGTTTGCAGTTATCTGTGGGCATAAATTACTTAATTTCATACGGGTGGATGAAAATATTCTGTATCCATAATATATTGACATAAACTTCCAGTCATTCCTGCATATTAAAGTATGTCTCAAGTTCCTCTCTTGACTCCATAAAATGAATGAAAAGATATGAAAATTAAAAAAATATTCTTATAAAATCAGCAAATATCTCCAGTTTTATCCTGATGTACCAAATTGGCTATTGCAGTGATAACACAAACAAATCTAGATCTAAATAAAATTTCTTAATGCTGTTGAAGAGGTCAAAGTCTTCCAGAAATACACTTACACTGCTATGGTAGAAACTACAAAATTTCAGGGTCAATTGAAGATTCCCAATATCCACCTAAATTTCATCCATCATCCCAATACCTAGGTCATACTGAAAACCATTTTTCTTAACTTATCTTTTTTCTCTCTAAACATTGAAGAGTGTTTTACTGCCTTATTTTTGTAATCAGTCCTTACATAATTTCACATTTTAACTTTGAACTGTATCAGGTGATTTTTGCTATATTATGTACCTTGCTACAATAAACTGGATGTTTGAACTTCTTTGTAAGGCCTCTGTAGTGGTCGGCATGAAAATGGGACAGGAAATAAGCAGAGCACTCTGGTATTGTTCCAAAGCTGAAAGCATCCACAGTAATTCCTGTACCTGCAAAAAAGAATTGGAAAAAAGCATTTAAGATTTTTTCCCAAACATCCTTTTTTTTCTCCTTACCGGAATTTATTATTACCCTGCAAAATGTTAGGAGCCAGCGATTAATTGAATATGAAATTTATTTCATTTCCCTGGATATATATATATGATGAGTTTCATATTTGTGTAAGGATTCTTGCCGTAAATTAATGGGTAAATTTTGAATTCAGTTTTTACCATACTACAGATTAAGTTCAGATATGTAATATTTAAGTAATTAAAAACTACTCACCTATTATCAAATGTTTTATTTAAATGTACATACTGAATAATTGCAAAAATGTTCAATTGAAAAACATATCACATATTCTATACATAGCAGCTTATATGTAAATTCTGAATTTCAACAAGCCTTGAGCTTTGCCAAGCTAAAATGAAAATTTTCTGATGTGTTTCATAAAAAGAGAATACATGAGAATAGATTTCGTATCGATTTTTACGAATAATCAATTATTTTGGCAAATATTAATACTGCTGAAACACATTTTTCCATGTCAAATCTGCAGCCCTCTCGGCTCTATATGTCTGTTATCCTTTGTGATGTTGTAATTTAATCTGAGGATGTATGACATTTTTCTTCATTATCTAATCCTGATATCACAATACACTACATGTGTATTACATCAGGTAACACACATGGGTATATTCATTGTATAAAAGGGCAAACATTTTAGTATATCATTATATATTACCAGGCATTTTCTTGTAAAAAGGACATTGTCTCTGTCCGCCCCACTGCTTTTTCTCTGGTTGAGGAATTCTCATGTCAACGCTGTTTCCCTCAGATCTGTTGCCCGCTGATGTTGATTGTACAGGAACAGATTTATTAGAACTTTCTTCTGTGGTATTTCTGTTTCTGTCCTTTCCCCACTGTTTTGCTTTCATTAACATTGCCATAGCATCCACCTTTCCAGGACTAACCTGGCTTTGAGGAGTTGTACTTTGCCTAGTAATTTTGGATTTTGTTTGGTCCATCAAAATACTGAAAGCATTTTTGTTGTTCTTTGCAATTGTCTGTGACTTTTCTGTGTTTTCCTTTGTGACACACTCTTGTTTGATATTACTTCTTCCAGATATTTGTTCCTTCATTCTGCTACCATCACAGTCATTACTGTTACTTTCCTCCAATCTTTCATTTCTGTGTTGTTTGGTGTCAAAGAGTATATTGTGTGTGTCTGAATCTTTTTCCACAAGGGTTTGTGATTCATCATCAAAATCTGTCCCAATATCTTTCTCTTTTTTCAGGTCAGATCTTTTCACATTAATCACTGATGCTACTTGTTCACAATCACTTCCCTTTAATACACATGATGATGCTCCTTCAACTGAACTGGTATCATCAAGCAATTTTTCAAAAAGAGCTTTTTTGGCATTTTTAGATTTGAAAAAAGACTGCACAGATTGCTGGTTGACTTTGGGCAATTTGTTCCCAGCAGGGTCATCAGTTTCAAGCATATCGTTACCAGAATTCTTCTTAACAGTACTTTTCCTGGTCTTTTTACCTGACAATGAAGGCATAGACTTGGTTGGGGTTGTAAAAGGCAACCCTTTTTCAGTTGGTGAAGAAGAATTCTGCTTCATATCATTGTTTATGCTGAAATAATTAACCAACCTTCCTTGAGAAAAAGATTTGGTGGATGCAGGACTTTCTGCTCTAGGACTAGACAATGGACTGAAACTGATTCCTTCATCTGAATGAATATTTATAGCTAAATTATTGCTCTTACTAGACCCTGCTTCTTTATCTGTAGAAACAGAACATGGTGAGGAACTCAAACCCGTAGTTTTGTCAGAGTCTCCGTCAAAAGTATCAACCAACATTTCATCCATGCCCTTTTCCTCATCTGATTCACAACTATTTTTCTCCTTGTTGTGGTTAGCAGCTGAAGTCACTGTTACAATATTGTTAGAACTTTCTTCACCTGAGACAACTGTTGTAATATCACATGTTTTGTACTTTTCACTGCCTTCATTTCTGGAGTGTCCTGGCCGATTCCCATCCAACAAGTTTATGTTCACATGAGAACTGCTTTGTTGATCTGAAAAATACAACGTATTGGTAGTTTATATGTGTACTAGTGGTTTAGTTGTAAATTTTCATAATCAGACTGATTACACAAACATCACTGGACTAAGCTGTCGAAAACTTATATTAATACTTTTACTTTAATGTTAGTATCAAGATATCAGTGTATGTAAGTGAATGTATTTTCCAAAAGAAATGTGTTTTAGACAGGAGAATTTCCATGGATTTGATACTCTTTGTCTGTGACATGAAGAACTCCCCCCTCCCAACCCCCTTAAAATAGAAGATATTAAAAATGAAAATAAACAAGGGACAAAGGCTGTAATATGAACATGATAAAGTTTAGACATGTACAGTACTATACCAAACAAATGGAAATTGTAATAGAGTTCCTTGTTGATCACTGCAATAACAATTAACTAGGTAGTTAAGTGGAGTTAAGCTAAATGGAAAATGTCTAAATCAATTTAACATAGATTATACGTAAAAAATTAAGTAAAAAAGAAACCAAGTATGAATAAAAAACAACCTAACATTTGCAGGAATATTCTAAAATCAATCTTTTTAGTACCAAAGATCACTGGGGCAAGATACATGTATAGAGATTGTTACAGGAGATTTTACTTGTAGTAGTTGGGTTCAGGAGGCAAGAGTTTGTCACATATCAGGTGAGTGTATAATTCTTCAGATGCACTAGTAGAACAGGGCTGGAATCAAGTAACTAGAGACAAAAAAGTGGCCAAAAGTCAGCTCACTACAGCACCTACTTTTTTTTCTTCTGATTAGTAAAGTTTTAAGAAAGATCCTGAAGATGATGTTAAATTATCAATATCATGTATGGATAAATAAATTATCGACAAAAGTAAACAAATAAATAAATAAGGAAAACTCAGAGTGTAAAGCCAGTATGAAAATATAACTTAATAAAATCAGTCACAAAAATAGAAAATAAAACCCAAAATATGGCAAAATGAACGACATGACATAGGTTCATGGTTCCTGTGCAGTTTCCACACAAATTATTGACTAATTGGCTGTGATTGATAGCAATCTGGTCTAAATGATTCACTAATCTAGAGGACAATGTATATTTCTGCCTTTGAGACAGGTGAAATCTCCAGTCATTTGCCTCAGAAAACCTTCACATTAAACATTACGAAGCCCTTGTGAAGTTTGTTGACAGACAGCCTAAAATGTTCAAATTACATGGTGTAACATGTCAGTAGTCACTAGTGTAATGACGAATTACATAAATACATGTGCCTTGCTTTGGTGTCAAAGTGTAAGTCGTAGCTGCAGAAACTTATAAATCTCCAGCAGGAAAGGCACACACAAACACACGTGTGTGACTTTTATATCATCCCTGTGAACCTACCCATATTGGAACTGAAAGTAGCCTCAAACCAATCACAGCATGTAATACAACCGTTCACCGCCCACCTCACAAGATGGCCAACATAAAACAGACACTTGTCAAACCAGACATGATATCCCTCTGTTAATCTTGGGCTGAACCCCCCAAGAGTACTACTATTATTAAGGGTATGTTCACCGAGTAAGAGCCAAAACCACTACAATTCTTGTCAATATGTGTCATTTAACACCTATGTCAATACAACTAATATTATCAGCCAAGTCTCAGATGAATAAATTCCATCTGTACCACATACTTATTGAAATTCTCAGAATGTGCTAGCTAGAAATAATAGGAAAATACCAGTCACATTCTCCAAAAACCTGAAATTCTTCCATAAAATAAATGACCAAGAATTATTCCTGTAGTCTTCAAAAATTTGTTTTAGTACAATTATTCCCATCCTTCTCCATAGGAGATTTTGGACAAAGTTCTGGTTTGTAGGCATCTAGAACTTTCTTTGATGTACCTTTACAAGAATCCAATATTGTAGTTGTAGTGGCTGTCTTTTGACCACTTCCTCGTAAGCGTGCCAGCTGCCAATGAGAGAACTTCCAGTAGTGACTTGGTAAGGTGTTGTCACATGACAAACCTGCTGGACATTCTGTAAGATAATAGTTAAACAATTAACAAGTCAAAATATGACGTATACAATCCAACAAATTCACAGAAAATGAACTTGCCCTGCAGAAATTTAAGTATTTTCTTCTTCACTTTTCATGCTTGTCTTGTACTTTATAGCAAATGCAGCAAGTAAAGTACTACAAGGTATTGTGTGTAGTAATTAAAATCCAACAAGCTTATGCTGGCCATAGATCACCCTTAAAATGGAAGTGTGGCAGGAACTTCACTACCCACAATACACTTACCGCAGCACACCATGTATACTGTCAAATGATTTAATAGATTCTAAAATAATTTGACTGACAAAATACCTTTTACAAGATTTCGTGTGGAACCTAAAGGTTCAATCGCATTTGCAAATCACTAAAAAAATAAATACTGTTTCACCATATTTGAAAAACAAACTCATTTCTTTTTAAGGCAAATGTAAACAATAATCCTCTCTTCAACCTGTGTAACTCTGAACAGGAAACTAGTGTATATTCATTTTAGAAATGTGGTGAATTTTAAAATCTATTTAAATTATCAAAATCACGAAATAAACAATCATGTGCATGAGTTATCTACATACAGAAACATTATTTATTTCAATTTTTATGAATCATTTTTGTTGTAAGCATGTTACGGGTCTTACTGTGTGGAAATTGCAGACAACCTCTACCTATTCAGGGAATTGAATCCTGGATGGCTAGGTGAATAACATGTGTGCTATCAAAGCACCGCTTGACCTCCACCTGATAAAGATGATGATAATGCAACAGGGTCTAGTTGAAGATGACAACAACAACGATATGTAAAGCATTGGTAGATATGGATATATCCATGTGTCTCTTGTTGAAATCTTGCAATTTAAGCAAATTTAAAAATAGCATTTTTCAGTAAAGACATGATTCAGACAACTCAAAATGTGCATTTTACTGATCAACTTGTGCTTGCTTTTAGGCTTTCATTTGCCTATTTCATATCATGCTTCCAAAATAACCACCAAACTTTATGACATATATCTGTATATATATCATGTTTCTTTGTTTTTCTATATTAAATGATCCTGCATTACAGCATCATTTAAACTCCACAGGTTATGCTCATTATCATTCTTAGCACCCCTGGAACATTTCCTGGAAAAAGATGGAAGGATCCATATGCGATATCTTGAAGGTAAGACAAGAAGGCTATTTCAACATTTGACATATATCACATGAATCTCAAGGTTGCATAACTGTATGTTGTACTGGCTCTGAAGTTGGGTGTCACTCCTTGGTAATCTTCAAAGACATATATGAGTCTGTGATCAGTCAGGTTTTTTCCCACCTGAAACCCACTACAGACCAATAAATTACATCGCTATTATCTTCAATTTTCAAATGTTCTTGAGGTTCAGAGATGGATAGTGAGCAAACCCCCTGGAGTATCGAGGATGACATTCATATAACTAATTAATTACTGATATCAGTAAATATCCCTCAAAAGCAAAGCTATAAACGGGGTTGTGTCCCACCTGGAAACCCTGCAACACAAAAAGATTATTTTACCATTGATTGCCATGTCTCGATCCAGACATTCGTTGATATGCCATGTCGGAGATTTAAAGCTGAGTGCAGCATACGGAACTTGACAATGAGGACAAAATCCCTCGAGCAGTTCTGGACGGCAGTTTTTTGAAGGTGTTTTTTCGTTCTTCCGGGAATGTTTGTCGGTAACCTCACTTTTTTCCGATTTTATCTTAATGCCATTAGTAACTTGTTTGCTTGATTTTGATGACTTCTTTTCCTCAGCTTTCTTTCGTATATTTTTATTTAATTGTCTAGTGGTTCTATCAGCACTAACAATATTTTGACGTGAAAATTGAGATTGCGACTTTTTGTCATTTTGAGAGTCTTTCGTTTGATCTCGCTTTTCCCGTTTCAGACATTTGTATCCCCATATTTCATCGTCACTGTCGTCGTCTTTCGACGAATTGACAACACTTCTTTTCATTTCGATGTGTTACACAACAACTGAAATGTCACGAGTAAGCATATTTCATTCCCGCCGATGTACCAATTGTATCTCCTTTTGCGGAGAGTTACTTGTTGATAGAAAATGCAAAATAGACTACTAAATAAGGTTGAGAAACATAGGTATAATAAGGATTAGAAGCTAAAATCAACATTCAAACTATACATAAATGATATGCTGACCTTAGCTTTTAGTGTCGTAAAAATTCTTTACTTATTATTGTCAATTACTTTCGTTTGTTTTTGTTTACACTACGTTCCGTAAAATATAGTTCGTCACTAATGTAAACCAAAATGGAGAGGGAGAGATGGTGACAAGCGGTGCTCGACTCAAAACAAGAATGGATGGTATTTAACCGGTTTTTATAGAAATGCCTTTAGCGGCATCCCGATCAAATGGAGGAGGATCTACCATAACGTGTCAGACATGTGACCACACGGTTAAGTGTCAGCCTGGATCAAGCCGAACTATATGCCCCAACTGTGGGAATTTCTACAACAGGGATGAGGCTGGCAGGCCACCCCGTGCCCGTGGTCAGCGGAGAAGAGGTCGAGACGAACCGCCACTCCCCGATCTTGATAAGGTGAGGATCAGTTCACCCTGATATCGTCAACACATTAAGCATCGAAATCGCTTTAAATGTATTTAACATTAATGATCACTTCTTATCTGTTGATGTAAAACCTGAGTACATGTAATAGATCACACAGTGTGCATTGGTATTAAGTCTAAAATGTTGGCCATAGAGAACTAGTGTCTAACCAGTACTATATATTTTTCTATCCTGTACAGAGTAATAATCCTCTTATCAAACTTTTTTATTTGTTGGCTCTTCCAGACTTATCTCTCAAGCAAGTTTTGGAGTTAATGGGAAATTTAAGTAGAAAATCTACGATTACAGATGTCCTGTCAACCACCTGAAATTGTGTTATAGCTAGCTAAATGCATTGTCTAATATCATTTTTCTTGACACTGGTCTTTTTTCCTTTCTTTTTTTGCAATCTTTTGTCCCAATAGATTTCATTAGAAAGATCAGTATGAATTATCAATCAGTAAATATGGAACTGACTGCTTTTTAAGACTACAATGTAACATAAGTTAGGGAATCCAGAACCAAGATAATGATATAATATTTCAGGTAAAAGACTTAGATGTATCATTTCACATGACTTTGCTTATTACATAATTACAGATAAAAGTTTGATCAATGGGAACAAATGAAATAAAATCTATTACTGGATAATTTATTATTAGATTAAGAGATTCTATATAACATTCTTAAATCAAATAGAAAAAACCCACAAATATTAATCTTTGATAACTAACTTGGCTTGTACTCTGTAGGTAGCAAATTTCATTTTCTATGGTCATTTAAGTATTTTACTGTACTTCTTAAATTATATTTGTACATTTAATTTAGAGCACACAACTATCAACTGAAAATAAAGTCACTGTTGAAAAAACAATTGTTACTAAATTAAAATCAATATCATTTTCAGTATAATTCAATGATAATCCCAGACATAAACGAAAGTCCACAGAATTTTGGAATATTAAATATATTAACAATCATTCTGTTAATCTGGTTTTCTGTTTGATCCAACATTCAGTTCTGCATATTGTACATGTTGGTACTAATTCTATGAACATCTTGATCATGAGTCAACCATTAACTATGACCAATTGGTAACTATGTAAACAAGCTAATCACTTTTTATTTACCATTTTCTGTTATACTTTTCAATGCCTCTCTTAACTTACTCATGGCTTTTTCTTGACAACTCAGTAAATTCTGAAAATTTGTAAAAAATGATTTTGCGGAATCGTTTGCTGAATAATCTCAAAGTTTATGTATAAAACAAATTGTAAAAATTGAAAGCTCAGAATGATCTTATTTGAAATTCATCATCTGTAGTGTAAGTTTAAAGTTACGGTTTAAACTTCTCTTTAGAATGTCTCAATTTTACAGTGTATACATATTAAACTTTATTTATTTTACAACAATTGTGAAAGAAGTTTTCCCAACTTATATAAATTAATCTTGTTGGCTTGAATATAAGCACACATGGATGTCTTACTGTGGGAGGACACAGGACTACCAAAAGAAAACCAATGTTGTCGTTCAAGTGAGCCCCATACATGTTCATGTTCTTTACAGGAATCAAACCCAAGACACCTAAGTGAAAAGTGTTATTACTGCGCCACCAAATACCTGTGTATACATAGTTTAAATGAGACATGATTCAATGATTTATTGATTTATTGATTTATTGATTGGTCTCAATCTTTTTTCCCTGTCGCAAAGAGAATAAATATTTTATATAATGAGACATAATTAGAACATAAAATATAGCACAAGAATAGAGAGAAAAGGCCATGGTTTTTTCTGCTTCATTCAAATGGAGCTGGGCAACCATTATCAGGGAGTCGAGGTAATAACTTTTAGTTCAGCATCATCAGACAGACATTAAAGACTTTTTATACAGCTTTGATTAATCAAAGGTCTATGGTGTTGCAGTTTAATTTGCTCTTTGTTGAAGTACATCTTGCAAATAATTTTTGTCAGTATGTTTGTTGTAGTATTATGATAGGAAAGAGTAATGAAAAACACCCTGCCCCTGGTGGGGTTTGAACAAGCAACCTTTCAGTCTCTAACCAGACACTTTTCCTAAAGGGAAATTCCCACCAGCCAAGGCTAGTTTATAAGGCGACCTGTGCTCACAACATCTACACTGTTTTCAATTCATGATGAAACATGATCATGGCATCACAATCAATTTCTTGCAGTAGCAGCCAATGAAAAACTCTCTTTGATATATATTACACTACTGACCTATACACAAAAATAACACGTGGGCGAATTCACTGGATAACAAGGAGATTATGTGATAAAGATTTATATTACATTTTTGTACTGAGTGGAAAACATTACATGGCTGACAGATGATCTGAGATCTTCAATTGAAGGAGTCAAATTAGAATTACATGAAAGCGAGCTCTGTCTTGAAAGTGATCAGAAACACATTAAAGAGCAATGAACAATTTGTCATCAAACTAATAATGATGTTATGATGTTAAAGCACCTGAAAAACTTTCTAGGATTCTCATGTTATCAAAGAGTATACAATGAATTCAATGAATAAAATATATATTACCATGGAAACTGAGACAGACAAAAGCAAGCTAGGTAATTAATATAATTAATCCCATCATTGTTGTCATTGGCAGATGAGACGTACGTATGTCAATTCATTCGAAGGCAATAAAGTCTCAGCACGAAAAACATTTGTTTACATTTAAACAGAAATCATGTAGAAAGTTATTACAAGTATTTGCATGAATTCACTTTGAATTATGGTACTCTTTTTTTCCAATTCAAAAGTAAACGGATAAGAAAAAATTACCATTTTTGATTTACTATAATTATTGCATTTCCTCAATTACAGCAGCTATGGTTTGTACTATATCTTTATAAATAAATTTGTATAATTTGTTTTGAGTTCAGGTCCCAAGGCCTCAATTTTCTTCTTTTTTGAAATGAAAATTATCAATAAAAGCTTGAATTATATGTACCAGATTTAAGATTAGGATAAAAACACTTTTGGTAATTGATTTACCTGTAGGTTTAAAGTATAGTAAAACTAGACCATAAAATCATGAATGTATTTAAGTTACAAAAGTAAACTGTATTTACTCTGCAATAAGCCCTGAGGATTAGTTAAGAAATTCTGATTTTATATTCAGAGAGGGCTTTTATTTCTGTACAATCTAAAAGCAATATTGATAGCTTACCTGGTCTAAAGGAGTGATGAGGTAGTGCCATGACACAGCATCCATTACCCATCATCTGTCATCAATACATTAACTTTTTTCTTACAAGTGCTATCAAGTCATAACCATCTCATTTTTGTATAAACATAAACAGTGGTTCTGTCCTCTCTTTCTAGCCATTCTGAGCACAACAATGAACATGATAAAGTTGATTGAAAGAACCACTGAGCTATAATATATATGTTCTGTATGACAGATATTCTTCCCACCCTTCTTAAAAGAAAGAAGCTATAAGCCCTCCCACACACCCCTATAAAATCTATTTTAAAAAAAAAGAAATATGAAGAAACAGGGAAATGGTCATAGCCATTTTGTCATAAAGGGAGCTCCAGTGCAGGATTGGACATAGTCGGTATATTGTTAGTACTAGGTGTTTAAGAGTCTTGCCTCTAAATGCCTTTGCCATATTTTACCACAAGTAAGACCCTACTTCCAACCCCCTGAATGAAAACATTTTGAGCCAAAGTAGTATAAAGAGGGGGCTGAGTTGCAAGCATCGGGCACCCGTAGGGTATATACTAAGAATCAGCCATCATAGATAATTCTCGTACCTTACTTTGACCAAATTTACTTGCTATTACCAACAATTTTTTGAAGTAATTTATTAATATTTGATGACAATTACATTTATTTTGATGATGTTATGACACAATAACCAGAGTATAGAAACAATATTCGAGTTTATGTACCATTTGACTGCAACTCATGGAAAATTATGCAAGGATAATTTGACCCTGACCTATGACATGTGAAAACTTATTCTCAGGCTCATTTGGTTGGTGGAAATTGAAGTCTGCTTGTTTATATATTTGAGTCACAAATCAGAAGTAGAATAATTCTGATTGGTTCTGTGATTAATGATAAAGATGAGATCTCCAACTGTCAAGTTTTTATGTTACTGGTTTTCTAGACAATCCATTTCTTGACCAACATAATAAAAAATATAAAACCACTATACATTTCAGAAGTGTAAGTCACTTTGATATATATCATAACTAGGAAGTATTATACAATATTGATGATGCTGTTAAGAAACATTAAATTAAAAGGAAAACAATATTTTTTTGGAACCCGTTAACAAACTGTGGTTGGAGTTCCAATACACATATATAATGCATAAATTAACATCAATTATCAATTAGCTGTGAAATTCATGAAAATTGTATAGCCTTCTACTATATATGTATCATCAAAGTCATATTCTCAGTATACATGTACATGTGTAATGAGATATCAGTTTTACAATCTGTTTATGTTTCCTTTTTATTATATTCTCCTGTGTTGGACAAGTGGTTGAAAGAGTACAGGAAAAATAATCATTCTTTCTCATCTAGGAGCGCTCATGATAACAGTGGGATTTTAAACCTTAGGAAAGATAGTAAAGTCTCATATTTGTGAACATAATAATTTTTTCCCTTGGATTGAAGACTCACAATCTGACACCCCCAAGAGCTAGGATGAAAGGGGTTTTTTATTAATCATTATGTTGAATATGATAGAGAAACTTTTGGAGTGTGCTTTCTGATTGTTTTAAAGGAACTGTCCATCCACTTTTACTGTCATGGTTCCATATATTAATCACATCAAAATTTCAAATGAAACAGATATACACCAATTTACATGCATTTGTCCTCAAGCAAAATTATTAACATTACTGACTCTTTCCCCAAATGTCCCTGTCCAAGAAGATTTGCTTCTGTCTGTAACAATTTGGATACAAAATGAAATAAATCAAATATGTCACCTAGTGATATCCTAATTCATCACATACAGTATTACATTTCATAAACTGCTACTCAGATGGCTCATCACAATTTGCATCTCCAATCAGCCAGGAAGAATTGTTACTATGTTTGACAAAAGCAGATTATCCTGGGGCTCAGCTACTAGACACTCCATGTGACAATACTCATTAGTTATTAACTTATCCACGTAAATGGCAACTGAGTTTTAGCTTTAGTGCAGTATCTGTCATTTGTCCACCCCAAAGGGCAATTGAGGTTATGCTGTAGCTTGACACCATCATCTTTCCATCTTTCGTCATCTTTTCCTTTGAAACAACTTCTTGATAATCATGAGGCTCATAGCCATAAAGAACAACCAAGTTTGTCCAAATGTGTGACCTTGTCCCACTTTTAAGTGCTCAAAAGGGTTTAAATTAAACATATGACCCCAATGTGACCATACTCACTGTTAGCATATCCACACAAAGTGCAACTGAGTGTTTAAATCTTTAAAGGACTTCTTTTCCATAACCAACAGGCCATAGAAAATGATATTGGGTCAGTAGTATCCTAGGATAAATGGTTACAAATTTTTTATAAGGAATGCCCTTTACCAAGTGATCTTGAAGGTCAAAGGCATCAGAAGTGTTTAAATCTCAAAGCAACTTCTTCTCTAAGACCAATAGGCCCTTGATATTGATATTAAGTCAGTAGCATGCAGGGAGGAAGGGCACTACTAAATCTTCTAAATGAATTTCCTTACTTCTTTATCAAGATCACATGACAGATGTCAAATTCATTCAAAGTTTTTAACAATTTAAACAATTTCATCTCAATAACCAACAGGCTTAGAGTCATGACATTTAGGGACAGGGTCATGATATTCAGGTACAGACTGGGATAAAAGGCTATCAAAATATTTTTATTGCCTTCATTATTTACATGAACACCAAAGTTACCTAGATGATTTCTTCCTATCAAGTGACTTCTAAGTATAAACTGCAGAACAGATAAGTTACACAGGCCTCTCATTGTTAAGTTATTTTCACAAAAAAATTAAATTAATCTGATTTGTTTTTTCAGGATAAAAATAAGCAGCATGGACGATTAAATTCTATTGCAAACTTTTTCCAAAATCTGGGTCCAAGTCGGAAGGGTAAACATCAAAGAGATCTGTCGCCTGCTGATAGTCAAAGTTCTTCGTCCAGCCTGTTGGAAAATACTTCGGGAAGCAAGACAGAGTTACCTCCCATTGACAGTCAAGGTCACTTGACCACCACATCTTCTAGTCGGCCAGTGTCCTACCAGTCTGATAAAAGTGGTAGTTCGGCTATACTGAGCCCTGGACGTTCACATCGTGCTCCATCTAGTTCCTCTACAATAACACTAACTAGTAGCATCCACAACACCAGTAAGAGTCGACTTAGCCCTAACCCTGTTCAGAGCAAGATCGCATACCCTGTTCGAACAAAGACAATTGAACAGATAAGGTAAGTGAGAGTCTGTCCAGAATCTGTCCCTTGCTAATACAAAATTAACCTTTTGGTAGCACACCATCAATATCCCTATCAACTTTTGTTCCATAATGATGCTGGTCTGTGTTTGTCTGTATTAATTAAAAGGTCCATGGGACCAAGACATTTAACTCTTATTCAAAGGAAAGGAAGGTGGGCTGATTTCAAATCAATGATACTGTATAGCAAATTATTGTGGCAAGGATGAAATTTTCACAATATTGTGGGGAAGAAATGTGATCACAAATATTTGATTGGTCAAAAAGGAAGATACATGTAAATTTCACCGGTGACATAAAGTGCTAATACAACTGTTGTCTTGTCAGTATCATCACTAACTGACTCAACAGATTCAAATTATCAAGGAGACTTCTTCTCAATTATATTTGTATGGAACAGATTAAATGATATGTAATGCAGATTTATTTTTTGTGGTGAAAACTTGTAATAATAAAGGTAAATCATAAGGAAATCTCCTTCTATCAAACAATTACATTATTGAAATTAAAATTAGGAAGCATTTTCGATTCACAAAATGTTCATATTTCATTATTTTCAGGTAGTGAAATTTCAGTCTATCTAAGTTTGATTTTCATGATATGGATGAAATTTGTGAAAAGTTACAGTGTAGCATTTCTTGAATTTTTTCTGTACAGAAACAGGATTAGATGTAAGTAGGTAGGTTATCAGTATCATTGGGTATGAGTTTATATGTTGACAGATATGTTTTTATGTTAATTCATACATATACAGAGTTATAGGTATAAAATGAACTTGCTGTTTCACTCAAGGTTAATGTAAGGGGACGTTGAGATTATTTCTTCAAGCTGTACTAAATAAAGAAATTTCTGCTTATGTGTTGAATAAAGTGTTCAGGGGTAATGGTTTGAAGAAATAAATAAAAAATGACTCATTTAAACACTTAAAACAATTGGTTTGCTGACAAATCAATTTGTCAAGACTTTTAATGCAACATTTTAGGCATATACTAGGACATGTAAATACAAGCATCCTAGTCAAGCACTGTTAGAAAGCAAAGGAAAGGCTGTCAATATGTCCTTACTTCATAAAAGAACAGCCCTTGTCTGACTGGCAAAACTGATTAATGCAATCAGCCAAGTTCTTTCCTATGAGATACTTGTGAGTCATATCACCTTAAACTGGAGAAGGGAATCATGGAGAATATCATGTTTTTGTAATATATGTCCTTGATTCCTTCTGTCATTCTGTTACCTTTGTCTGGACTATTCTTCAGTGCTGGTCACTGGAGCTTCACACTTAGGTTATGGATTTAATATGGTAAGGATATATGCATGTATCAAAAATATGTTACCCTGACCTATATTTTGACATTTGACCTACATTAGATAAAAAAAATTGTGTGGGCTTTATCTCCTACACTACTTGTCGCTTCACATAATCTGGGTACAGGTTAACTGTGGTTGTTGTATATCAAAAATAGGTCACTCTAATTCTTACATTCAATTTCACTTTTGGTGTTGGGTGGGGGGGAATATGGGACTGTAATTCACAGAATGGTCTTTTTCACTTCAATTTGGTGGTTTCCATCTTCAAATGTCCTAAGCTGTTGTAAGGATGTCGAAATTCTTGAAATAGTTCTGAGACAAAACTATACACTGATTAAAGCTGTAGACAATTATAGATCATTTTTAAAATTAAACATCAAATGGATTATCTCCGCAGTATATTTGCCTTGATGTCAAGAACAAATTAGAACAAATAGAATTTCAAGGTGTGTACTTTGGTAGGAATTTGAAAATAAATCCCGGTCCAACATGTAGTGTATCTGGTCATCAATTATATCCTGTCTAAGTCTCGCTGAGTTTTTGTGTCAATATTTCAGAGAGGATATCAAGTATGCTAAAGAAACTGGAAATTGGAAAGTGGTCCTGGAATTTTATTCAACAACATTTGATTCCTTTGTGGAAATTAATGCTGTATTCAAGGTAAGTGTAGCATGAGGCAACATAAAATGCCAATGCTGAAAGGTTACTGTAAAGATTCTGGGAAGGATTATGATGTTTGTTATAAAACTTCTCACATCAGTTACATGTGATCATACGGTTTGCTGTGACTTTCCGAAAGAACTACTAAATATTTCAAAAAGAAAGACCATTTGTTTTCTCAGTGAGATATTGAAATAGCAGATTAATTACATATCAGATACAGAAACTTCTTCAAGCAACTTCTTTTACAGAACCATAAGACCTGGATACATGATATCTGGCAGATTTAATATAAAATTTCTAGAGATGAATACCTTCCTTGGTTGTAGAAATCCACTGATTTGTTTGTTTTCTCAGTATTAAGTACACTTTGTAGAAATCCACTGATTTGTTTGTTTTCTCAGTATTAAGTACACTTTGTAGAAATCCACTGATTTGTTTGTTTTCTCAGTATTAAGTATACTTTGTAGAAATCCACTGATTTGTTTGTTTTCTCAGTATATAGAAATCCACTGAGTATACTTTGTAGAAATCCACTGATTTGTTTGTTTTCTCAGTATTAAGTATACTTTGTAGAAATCCACTGATTTGTTTGTTTTCTCAGTATTAAGTATACTTTGTAGAAATCCACTGATTTGTTTGTTTTCTCAGTATTAAGTATACTTTGAGTTATGATACAGCGTAATATCTCATACTTGAATTAAGTTCTTCATTGATTTCATGGTAACTTAACTTTACTTATATCTTACCTCTCTTGAGCTGTGTAACTATCACATTCTGTTTCTCTTCATCATCAGTCTTTCTTGAGGCAGCTTATGTCAAGGTCATTCTTAAGAACAATTAGGTCATACTTCAATTTTCCAAAATAATTTCAAGAGTGAAAATTGCCATTTTTGTTAACAAATTATAAGTCAAAATTTATCTAGGTAATATGGATTTTTTAACATTAAATATGATTTAATGGCTTTATTAATATCCAGGTTTGTAAATTGATCTCTGTTAATGATGATGTGCTTGCAGTAATAATGACAGTACAATTAGTCTATATATATATGAAAAATTAGCACAATCATAGCCAGATCTATCAGTTGTTGTCAAAAGGATCAAATGATTTATGTATTGTTAACTTAAACAAGGACCAGTAAATATCAAGGCCTATTACAGAACAGTCTAGATGGCCTGGCAAATGTTCCGAAAATTCAGGCCCTGGCAAAGTACAATTAAACGCTGATGGAACCCTGATTCCAAATATCATTTTCATTGTATAATTGTTAAGAAATATATACTGACATCTTTCAACACTTGCACACAAACTTTAACATTACACTAGCCACAAAAACTTTAGTTCAAACTATTTCAAAATACAGGGTTTCCCACAAACAGATTCTTGAATAGAACTCCCAGAGGAACCCAGATACTAAATATCAGTTTCAAAGTATGATTATAAAGTGATGCATTGATATCTTAAATTTTCTTGCACCAAAATCCTAATGATTAGAAAAAAAGGCTAATGCCAAGATGACAAGTCCTCAGTTTTCTTTAAAGAGGCGAGCTAATAAAACATCTGGATGGAGATTGGTGACAGAAATAGAGTAAATGTTGCAGAATATTTTAATTATTAAAATCAAACATACCACCAATATTTTATATCAAATGAGATTTTTTGTTCAAATATGTAGTGCACTGACTGGCTTCGTAGAAATTGAATTTTTATCATTTGTTCTTGTGTCTGCAATTCATATATTTGCAAATGTTGGATAATAGTACCACTTGTTCATGAGTAGTCAGGTGAAGCAATGTCTTAATGGATAAGAGATGTTGTGTTCCTTCGAGCAGTTGGGGTCCTATTCCCCGATTAGGTGTGCCATACATCAAAGTTATTGACCTGCCTGTCACAATTACATAGATTTTTTGCAACACTCTAGTCTCCTTCCACTTTTATAAAACCCTACGTGTGCTCTTTCTCAGCAGGAGTGATTAATATAAGCTGAGAAAATGTGTTTTAATGAAACTTTAATTTGTTTTCGAGAAGTGTGTGGCTAACTATCCTATCTAGTTTGTATTTCTCAAGAAAATGACATAAATGACAGTCCTATGCTGCATCAAGTTGTATCCTAGGGTACTCTAATGGTGGGCCTCCCTGATTATATTCAGTCAGGTTCTGTAAGGATGTATTCCTTGATCCCTCAAAAACCCTTGTAGTTCATGAGACTGTAAATCGAACCAGTATGTAATGGAACTGATAGCCTCAAGCCTGTTCACTCTCTCTCTCTCCAGGCAATTAGTTAGGATTGTCTTAGTTACATAAATACATATTATAATTGTATTGAATTCTCAGTGTACAGTAAATAAAGAAAACAATAGACTGAGAAACATGATGGGTTGTAAGACATGAGTGCTTTCATTTTCATCTTCAGATGTTTTACAAAGGTACATTTATATATACATTCATAGTTTTTATTGTTTAATTACTATAAACTTCATTCAATTTACATAGATTAATTTCCAAATAATATTCATCAACCAATTTGTGTTCATCCTTCTTATTGGCTTGGATGAAAACATACTGAATTTCTTGCCGGAGAAAAAGACCAGAGTACCAATTATAAATTTCAATTCAATGGTTCATGTGACACGTATTTTTAAAAGGCAATATATAGTTTATTGACAGAATAGTGTTTAAGCAATTAAAAAAAAAATGAGATTTATAGCCTGAAAAAGTAACGTAATTTTTACCTAAAAGCGTTAACAATTAAAAATACTTTTATTAAAAAAGAAATGCAGAAAGAATAATTAGCAGAAGTCTTTATTAAGGGTATAATCAATAAATAGTATGGCTTCTAGGCTTTTCAATTTCAGTGGAGAATAGGAAAGATTCATAGGAAATGTCTGTACATAGCCATATTGTTTTATCTGGGAAATGTGACCAATTGGTCACAGTGTTCAGCTTGTATGATAACTTTCATATTTTGTGAGGTTTTGTGAAATATCTTAAATAATTGATTTGCTATTTATATCTTTGTGTATACGACAAGTATATAATAATGTGCAAATATTGACAAATATATTTTGACGTAAATGACTGGAAATCCAATACACAAGAAGTTATTGTGTAGACAACTGTTGTTTAAACATCATGACATTTTAGAAAGGTAACACATTCAAATTATATTCTGCTTTATATAAGTAATCAATGATACCTATACACATTTATAATACAGAGTATTGATCGTGTATCAGCCTCCGGACTTAGGACTCTTTGTTGGGTGGATGTACCGGGTGGACTAATGATAAAATGATCAATAAAAAGCAGGATTTTTCAAATCAATAGCATTGTGTTGGCTGTGACACCATATTTACGCAGCTAGATCTGACTACGGGTTCCAGTGCTGGAACTCTGTACCTGTGATTGTCGCTAGGTACTGGTTACAGTATACATGTAAATTACTGGCAATTAGAGAATACCAGCCAACCTGCTATTTATTGAAATTAATTTTTTCATTGTCAATCATAAAAATTACAAAAAAGTTGTGAAGAAATTGATAACTCATCTGCTTTATGTATGAATGAATTCATGTATTTTCATGTTGTGTAAAAGAATTATGTAATTGTCAATATATTTTTTTCAATGTCTATCTTAAAATTTTAACTTGATTTTCTTTTTTCTTAACATTTTTTATCTGTTGTTTCCAGCATTGTTAAATAGTTGTGAAATAAATTTTTGGGGGATAATTTCAAGAATATTTCATAAAAATTGTTCTTTTTTTTTTTTTTTTTAATTTTTGTTGCTGCATTTTTGTATGTATCAGAATATTTAAGATCAGCCAGAAACTTTGTTTTAGATATACTGACTATTGTGTCATTATTTACAATATCTAAAATCTCGTATATAACATATAGATAATGATAACTTCATTTATACTAATGATATAGATTATGTAGATATATGAAAATATATTTTGAGACATTCATACATATAAAAAGCCATATTATGTTATATTATGATCAATAGTATTCTGTCTTTTACTGCAAACATGTCTTCCCACAACAGGTGAGGAGAGGGGGATATAGAGGGTTGAGAGATCAATCCCCCCACCCCCCATTTATTTTACTATCTCATTTTATCATGGGGAAAACATTTATCTCAAAGTTGCTCTGGAAGCCAGAGGTATTGAATTCTTATTAGATGGTCTCTATGGTAATGTCATATTTCATTTTCATTTTCATTCACAATACGTGATATGAAAACAATAACAAAATACAGACAATTTCATCAACAGGATTCAAATTTGCTGAAACTAGGATAAAATATGAGCAAAAAAAAGATTTACATGCACATTTCTGAAAAATTACTGATAATACCAGGTGTTCCAGAAGGGTAAATTTTGTCTGCTGCATTGACGACATCTGTCGTGTAAATCTTTGTGCAGATGCAAGTGAAGCAGAGATCAAAAAAGTCTTCTTGATATGTGTAATATCAAACTATCCAAACTTTTTTTCTGTTTTTTTTTTTTTTTTTATTGTTAATTTTTCATTTAAAGCTGTAACAAAAATAAAATCTAATGGTTTCCTTTTAAATATCATACATGTATATATATATATATAACATTTGTATGGCAGAATATATATACATTTTTCATTCGTGCAATAGATATTCTGTCAAAGATGTGATATATGAGAAACCTTGACCTCTTTCAAAAGAAATACTTGCTGTATAACATGGCAATCTCATGAGAAAAATTAATTGGTGGCTTCAAGGGGTTGACCTAACTATTTGATGAAATGAATATATAATGGTAGAGGTACACAGGTTTTAATGAATAATTGATCGTTGCATGTTCAGTACTAATTAATGTAGAATATGAACTATTATAAATACATGTAGGTAGTTAACACTAAAGGAGTAAGGATGAATTTACTGATGCATGAACTCATTTCAGGTTAGTGAAGTTTGTCAAAAGGTCGCAGTTCAGAAAATCTATATCAGAAAATGATTGCTTTGTTGATTAATATTAAGTGGCTGTAGTTTCTGGTTAATAAGATTTTCTTTTTCCTACCTACTCTTGGCTTCAATAGTTCAGTTGGTACATTGATGGCCTTCTATCCAAGGCGTATGGCTTGACAATCCTACTTTATGACAGATTGTGTTTCTCGGGAAGAAACGAAAACAATATACTTGTGTACTTTTGTAAGACATTTGATTCTACCTATTCTGTCAAATCCCGCCTACTCTGTCAAATCCCACCTATTCTGTCAAATCCCGCCTACTCTGTCAAATCCTGCCTATTCTGTCAAATCCCACCTATTCTGTCAAATCCCACCTATTCTGTCAAATCCTACCTATTCTGTCAAATCCCACCTACTCTGTCAAATCCCACCTACTATGTCAAATCCTGCCAATTCTGTCAAATCCCTCCTATTCTGTCAAATCCTGTCAAACCCTACCTACCTATTCTGTCAAATCCCACCTACTCTGTCAAATCCCACCTATTCTGTCAAATCCCGCCTACTCTGTCAAATCCTGCCTATTCTGTCAAATCCCTCCTATTCTGTCAAATCCTGTCAAACCCTACCTACCTATTCTGTCAAATCCTACCTATTCTGTCAAATCCTACCTATTCTGTCAGATCCCACCTACTCTGTCAAATCCCACCTACTTTGCCATATCCTACCTATTCTGTCAAATCCCACCTGCTCTGTCAAATCCCACCTACTTTATCAATTATATTTAAATAATATTCATGTAAACTTAACATTACTTAACATTAAATTTGACTAATAAACTTACATGATATCTCCTTTATCTGAGGGCGGTCAAGATGGAGCTTTCTCGAACTTGATATATATATTTTTCTGAGGTCCCTCATTTCCACATGATCAGGTTTTGATGTTGACATAAAAATGGTGGACATTTTATCATTTTTTGTTATTTGACAGTGATAATGTTTAATTTCAACATGTCTCTGGTTCTGTATAAAAAAAAAATGTCCAGTTTAAGATTCAAAGTCTCTAAACTAGACAGTGACAAATTGTTTATTTCAGATTCAAAGTCTCTAAACTAGACAGTGACAAATTGTTTATTTCAGATTTAAAAATTAATGTAATAATTTTTTCTTTACAGCGAGATCCAAATAAGGAATACAAGACACTTGAAGAGTCTGGCCTAAAGTTAGAATTGATCAACTTTGTCTATGACCTTTTGCCAAATCTGGTAAGTGTACTTAATATTTATGTCATAAGATTTACAGCACAAAATTTTGTTGTGTCTCTTTTGTCATATTCTTGCTATGCGTTGTTTTATTACAATAGATACCGAACACATCGAAATCACTAGAACTATTACACAAAAATTAAGGAGAGGGCTTAGACCTGTCAGTTCATATAACTTGTGCCAACCCCTTGTCTATCTGCCACAACTTTAGATGATCATAGGTCTGGTTAAGGGTCAGAGGTCACATTTTACAATGCAAATTTGTCATCTCTGACAGACAATTTCCAGTTTACATGATATATCTGAGGACCAGAGGATAAAAATTCTCGATCTTACTGTTTCAGCCTCAGGATATCCAAAAATGTGTGCTAAAATCCATTATCAACAGCTTGCTGAAGGACAAAAAGTAAGTGTTTCAACAGTCAAATGGTTTGGTTTATTTAGTCATTGGGAATTACTCAGTTAAATCAGGTATGTATCATAGAGTAATTAAATTTCTCGGAAAATTATAAACGGAGCTGATGATTTTTCACCTTGTCTTTTATATTTGTGTATTTTTTTTAATGACTTTTTGCAAAAAAGTACAAACGGAATTGATGTAAAAAATCTAAATAATTTTTTTAGTTCAATTTTAAAATAAATATCAGTTCGTAAAATTCACAGAAGAAACAGAACTTACAAAGAGAAAGTCTATCGACTAAATTTGAATCCCGAATACATTCTTGTCAATTTTTTTTATCAAGTAGTGCTTTAAAGAACATGTCAGTGTGTTTTGATCAAAAGGCTATTAAATTCCAAAGGAATGTGAATAATTACAAAACTGCTTGTTACAATATTTCTGTAGTATAATCTTCTTCATGCTAACCACATTTAAATTCTGTATTAGTATTTCATTTTGTCTTTTCCTCCCACTCTTTTTGTAAATAGATACAAAAAGTCAGTTGTACCAAAATATGTATTGTTACAATATACTGTAGTTGGCAAGGATGAAAAAAGGATGTTATTTAAGGTTTCAAAATGTTCTTGAAAAATAAAACTATGTTTTGATAATACCTAAACCCATACATTTTCATGGGTCTCAATTTTTGTGACTTTTTTATTTTATCTTTCGTTTTGTGGAGGTTTGAGGTCTTTTATTAATACTAACATCACGTTGCTCAATGGATTTATTTGTACTTATGTTTGGGTAAAGAGTACCCATGAAATCAACAAAAAAAAAAAAAACCATGAAAATTTATAGTTTTACAGTATATAATTGATTTAGTGTTATCACATTGCTAACACATTTTTTGAAATGTGTTTTAACCACTTCAAAGTACATCAATCACATATGGTGTGCTTTATTTTCTGAAAGCCTATCTAACAAGGGCAATTTTTTATGAAAATTCTGCATTAGAAACACATTCTGAGAGCCTGTCAGTGAAGCATTATGATACAATAATGTCTCCAGTACATTGGCGGTATCGTTTGTAGACAACAAAAATAGGTGCTTAGAAATAAAATATTAATTCTCCTACTACTCTTGAAAAGAGTGGTATTGATTTCAGCGAGGTTACCATTACTCAAGGTATCTGCGTAACCTTACTATCTAAGTTGTAAGCCTATTACTATAGGCAGGCACAGAGCTCATTAGTTAATCGGAGGTGGTCATTATATTGTAATGATTTTCTGATGAATACAGACACAAGATGTACCTGTACAAGATAACACACTTTACTTTTTTTTTCTTCATTGTCTGTACCATCTTGCAAACTGAACTGCGATGTAAAAACCACATCCTTCACAGCACATTAATCAATTGATCTAGAGTCATATTCAAATTGTTTTTTCTAGATAAAACTCAATAAAGCACCATGGATAATATCAGACTTCTTTAATAGGTCTAGCTTAAACATCTTACTTAATACAGTCAGCAGTAATCCAGTGCTGATCGATAAACCTACCAATTACTTTACCTGTACAATACAACGAAAAATGGCATTAGTAGAATTAGCCCATCCATATATGATGTATCATACCTTTTTTTTTGTTCTGTTATTCATAAAAGTATTCACCAGAGAAGGTGATATTTCCCTATAACTGAAGGAAGTATCACCTTATCAGGTTAAGAAATCCTTGTATTCACCTGAAAACAGGTCAATAAATGTTTTGTCATATGACAATCTGACCCAAGCTTCTGATTGGTCAAAAATTGTGGCTGACAGGTTGATTTCTGGATACTGGAGTCACATGACGGTGTGTAATTGTTATATTCACCTTGCATGCACAGTTTAAGTGTAACATTGCAATTTTTTTAGATCTATGAGAAGTGATCTGACCTTGTAAAGGAAAAATGACATTTAAATGATAAATTATTTTATTTATTCATCAAGAAGCCTAGTGTTTAAAAATACAATTATTTACTTAATGTCAGCTTGGGATGGGTTTATATTAAGACAAAGAAATCAGTCTTTATGTAACTCAAGAGACCGTTGAAACAGTTGTGTTAATTCTTGTTTTAAGTAAAAATTGATAGATTTATGTTTTCAACATTTGAAGTTTATTGCCTACATATTAATCTGAATTCTTTTACATGTAATCATCATACAAGTTTGTGCATTCTAATCTATACACATTATCGGATGGATACTCAAATATCCTGCAATAAATCCAGCAGAGTCCTAATCATTTCTTAATACTGTACTCGGAGTAAAGGGATAAGCATATTACAGGACTATTATACTGCATTGGTTTATAATCTTCTAGATATCAATATTCAATACTAATTTCATGATCAGTTATTAAATACACATCATCAATTCATACTCATTTATCATTGCTTTTGTACATGAACTGTGAAATAGTTTGTGTTGTTTGTTTCTTGCTTTATGAAAATGATGTTTCCAAATCAGTAATTTGGATCTGTTACAAAGAATTTTTAATGTCTATAGATAGAATACCACTCATTAAAGACATTCATTAGGCTGGTAGTGGTAAATTACCTCTAAATGAATATTGTAACAATATAAGATAATAATTAATCTAATATCAGGATTGTATTTATAAATCTCTGAGTCATTCTTGAAATCATCTTTTGGGCAATTTTGGCATCAATTACAGTAATTTATTTTATTTCCTGACAGATAATTCCTGTTGATATAAAACAAAAGAGCATGTTTAAGATGCTTACAGCTAAAATAGCACCCAATATTTTATTCTAATTTCAGCCAGATATACTAAGAAAATCGTCTTTCAATAAATAAGATTAAAAAGTTGACAAAGTTTCCGATTGACTCGTCGAAGTTTTTCGGTACTTCACTTTGATATATTAGTATTATTTTTCCTACTTGCCACCAAAATGGCTCTGATAAGGCTAGGTAGATAAGTGTGAAGGAGAACGTGCTTTGATGACTTCATGGCTCAGTGAACAAACATAAGAGCTAATGCCAGAGAAGTCACCACTTGGCCTAGTTTCTTATCCCTCTATATTATACATCCTTGTCATAGCTAGTGTATGAAAACCCCTATGTAATTAGGAATTTTCCTCCTTTCCTTAGGTTTTATACAAGAGGTGGAATATTTTTGCAATAGCATACATATATTTATTTTACAACACTCTGGTTTCAACATAGTTGATCATATTTTTTATAATATAATATAAACTTTATTTATTTCACAACAATTGCGAAACAAGTTATGTCAACTTATACTAATCACTCTTGTTGGCCCGGATGTAAGCGCGCGAGGGGTCATATTTCTTCATAGACAGGGGGCAACCTTAGTGAAGTCAGTCTGGCGTTGACCTAAGCAAAGCTCAGGTGTTTAGTATCTGAGATGCATGGTTTGACACTTCTCATCCTTTGCAGTTTGTTTCTCAGCAAGCACGTGAGAAATCAACCAGTCTGTGCTGTTTTGAATGTGTCTTTGGGCAAGACAATATACCACGACTTCTCTGCATAACATTGTGGGCCTTCTGTATTTAACGTGATACAGTCACCAGCTACTATAAGGAGATCCCATCTTAAAATGAGCCTGGCAGTTCACATTGTGATTAACCCAGTAAACAAAATGACATCATAAAAATTTTAGTCTATTATTCTACTACATCGTTCATTTAATAACAATATAATTTGACTTCTGTGTCATCTCTTCAGAAGGCTCCTTCAGGGTCATCCAACTCAACCTAGTTTAATTCAGAGAAGATGCTTTAACCCCTTCCAGGTAGCTTGTAAAGTGAATGACTATTTTTGGTAACAACTGCTTGCTTAGCCACCATGAACAGTAGACATACTGTAGTTTTAAGATCTTATTTACAGGTGTTGCTTGGTGTACCAGGCCGGGTCTACCATGGTCTATTGGAACCATCTGTTTAGATTCGATTGAAGACACCATTCTCACAAAACATTTTCGTGATTAGAAAATGAGGTTACAAAAACCTGATTGAAGATCTTGATGAAACGACTCTAATAGGTTTTCCTATCGCGTGTAATGGAATACATGTAGAACAAAATACTTACTAATTTATAAGTATGTGCACTCATGTGACGTAGGTAGATACATTGTGCCGCACGATCAATATACCTTTATACGTATATTTCATATACCTGGGTACCTCATGGGATTAAACCCAGACAGGTATATGTCTATAATGGTCTTCCTAAAACCTTTAAGCTTGTTATTTTACATTTTTTGCTGTAGTTGTTGAGAAAATATATATACCTGTTAAAAAGCCCACCCTGACTTCTCTCTAATTTTATATTTGAAAAATTTAGGTAATTTTGATCTGTGTTTGAATTCTGAAATCATTAAGGATATCTGTTGTTTTATATAATACTTACAACAATTTAGGTAATTTTGATCTGTGTTTGAATTCTGAAATCATTAAGGATATCTGTTGTTTTATATAATACTTACAACAATTTAGGTAATTTTGATCTGTGTTTGAATTCTGAAATCATTAAGGATATCTGTTGTTATTATACAACAATTTAGGTAATTATATTTACAACTGTTGTTTTATATAAACTATAGTTATCTGTTGTTTTACATTATATTTACAACAAACTATAGTTACAGATTACCAGACACACCTGTAGTGTAATCATTATTTTTTCTGTTGTTTATCTCCAAACCAAATGATCAACAACAATAAAACATTTGTGAAAAATGTCCAATAATTTTTACCCAATGTCTCCCAGTTGCCCTCACTATCTTAAGGGTTTGGGGTAGGAGGGAAGGGGGCGAGTGAAGGATATATAGCTGATTCTGTCCCATAATGTCCCATCCTAAATCAGTAACATACCTATGTCCCATCCTGAATCAGTAACATACCAATATCCCATCCTGCATCAGTAACATACCAATGTCCCATCCTGCATCAGTAACATACCAATGTCCCATCCTGAATCAGTAACATACCAATGTCCC